AGTTTTCGGTATGCTCGTTTGTCATTTTCCTGGTTAACTGCGACCCGCCAAAGAGACAGACGAACGAGAGGGAGTCCAAGAATAATTGTCAATTTGTTTTGTGGCACCGAAAAGAGCCCCACCAGGAAGACGATGGCGGCTGCTCTTTGGTGCAAATAACGCCTGACAGCAATAAAATTTATTTAAGTGGCCTCATAATTGTTAACAACAAGAAGAACAAATATAATAATAAAAGGCAAACAAAAGGCAGCTGCAAGTGAAATGAGCAATTATTTAGCCATGAAAAATGTAAAAACCTCCAGCAACAGCAGCAGCAACAACAACAACAACAACAACAACAGCAGGCGTCATAATAAAGTTATTATCCGGGAGACAGAGAACGGGTGCGCAGGGAGAGAGAGAGCGAGCGGGCTGAGCGGGTTGTCATTTGGTGGGGGCTCGCAGGCGGAGCAGAGATACGCAAAATACTCAACAATGAAAAATATTAATAACGTTAATGAAATTCTCATTTGCTTGGGCGGCAGAACGCACAGGCATGGATGGGGCAGAGCAGGGATAATAATGTTAATGAGAGAAGGACTCGGTGATGGCGCGGGCCTGTTTGGAGGCGACAAGTGACATGCCAAGGGTTAAGTTAATGCCTCGCAAAGCACAAGGCACATAAAATGGAAGGTGAGGCAGCTGCAAAAGTGCTTGAGTTGTGGTTTAAGCCTGCGGGGGTGGGTGGAGGAGCACTACGAAATCTTTTCGATCGGCGCTGCTTGAAGGAGAGAGAAAAAGAGCTGGCACAGCCTTACCTACTTTTTAGTATACCTTGGCCAGGCATTCGTCTTTACGCTTGCTCTCTCTCTACCTCCCACTCTCTTTCTCTCTTGTCTTGCAAAGCAAATATTTGCCCCGCTAAGTAGGCAGCAAAAAAAAACTTTAAATGCCTTTGTGTGTGTGTGTGCGATTGTGGGGGCGTGTTAATATGTATGTGTGTGTCTGTGTGTGCTTCAATGTTTGTATGCTTGTGTGGGTGCTTGCGGTCAGTGGCAACATGATTTTTTGTGTGTGTTATTTTTTTCCATATAATAAACTTAATGAATTTGTCATGAGACTTTGATGACTTTTAAGTACCAGAACTTTGTTTGCCAGTGTCCTGCCAGGAGTCAGGAGTGTGCAAATTTAATGCATTCCATTATTAAATTGGTTTATTTTATCACATGGAAATTGTGTGTCTGGTCTGTGACACAGAGTAGAAATCATAATAACTTTTTCCCCATAACTTTCAAGTGAATAATTTCTATATGTATTCTATAAAATTCTATTCAAATCAAGAACCATTTATTCCAGTGTAAATTATTCTTAAGCTGTAAGCTTCGTTGTTAGGTATATATACTTGAACAGCATTTAAAGATAGATAATTACATTTTCCACAACAAATTTATTCGCCGGAAAGCCAGAGATTCTATGCAAAAACGGATTATTATTTCACCACAACAATTAAACACTTAAAGCACTCCCACTCCCACAATCAATCAGACATATGTAATTCATTCAATCGATTTTTAAATAAGGATCATTAAAGCATAATCAACTTTTGCAATTTAGTTCGAGTCTAAGTAGATTACAGCTGTGTTAATTGGCCTGGAAAAAGTGCAGCTATTTGTGGGTATTTAAAGTGTATTTGGTTGATTTACTCGTACAAACCATACGAACCATGGCTCTTTATTGTTAATCTGTCTTAAAAAGTCTCATCATCTAGTTATGCATTTAAAAAACACGTATCGTTCCGATTGGAATGCAGTCCGTCAGCCACATATCCAGCCGTCACATTTTAATTGCCCTGACACTGTCAGCGCTCCTCCCCCACACAGAGTAGCCCATTAATTTAGTTAGTTCGCTTCCTGGCCGGACCACCCCCAGTACCCAGTGCGGGCTGTGCCGCGCCCATCCTGCCACACCACCGGAATGTCATGCAACATGTTAAATAACAAGTGATTTACATTTTTTTTATACATTACAATTGTATATTCTTTCTGGCCGGCATTCCGCGCACGTGCTGGCCATGATTGTAATGCAATTAAATGAATAATTAAATATAATATGCCGCCGGACACATTTGTCCAGCAATGTCCGAAATCAGGAACGGAATGACCAACAGTTTGCGAATATCTTTGCAGGGGAATTGGTCGTATTTATCCATATATAAAATCGATACATGTATGCAGAAACTATCTCTGGAAAAATTGGCAGATATTTTTAATATTTTTGTAATGCAACCAATCAAATGAACATGTAATGATTTAAGGGATAGATTGTTGATCCACAGATGGAATATATGTATTTAGTTATAGGCGTTACAAACATCAGGTGTATGTGTGGGTAGGACAGACGGGAATCCTTTCACTCTACAGGGAATAGAGGGGAATGCATATTGCCCTCTTCCTTTGTGTTTATGTGTTGTTTGAGATCCTCTGTGTGCTTTTGTTTCTTTGAATTACCTAAAACTTGACATGTTTGCGATCCCCAACCTGAAGTTTGGCCAAAGCAGAGGCCAACGACACAGGCGGAGGCAACATCAGTGGTGGCAGCTTGACGAACTCCAGCTTGAAATCCTTAAACAGGCTGCGTGCCAAATACAGAAACGGTCCATTAATATTGCTTTTCGTCTTGACCGATATTTCGCTATAAATGCGGTCCTCTGGGTCGGTGCCACAGCCCAAAAAGGTTTCTGGCTTCAACTCGAATTCGAAGTCAGCCTTGATATCCGCCTTGTTTCCACAGATGGCTATTGGAATATCTGCACAGAACTGTTCCATCATTACGGCGTAGTTGGGAAATGTGTCGAAGGCATCCGCCGCGGCCAGATCAAACATCAAGATCGCGCAGCGGCTGTCCTTGTAGAAATCAACCGGATAGCGCTCCAGCTCCTTATCCTCCTTGCCCCAGTCCCACACATCGAATCGAATGGGTCCGCGCGTGGTCTTAAATATCAGCGTGTCCACGTTGGTTTCAAACCTGTCCGTGGGGACATACTCCTTCTTGAATTCTGCAAACTGATGGCGTCTTAAAAACGTGGTCTTGCCACACTTTGCGTCGCCCATAATAATACACTTGTAAGGCACATCCATGGTTACAGAATAGGCTAGACCTGCGTAGAGTATTATTTTACAGAGTAATTTCTTTAATTTCGAATCTCTGTAAAGTTGATTCGTAAAATAATAAAGCTTCTAGAATTTACCCAATTATTTGCCAATATTTTCGACGCTTACTTTATAGTGTTGTACAACTACAAATGCTAGGGATGCTAGTGTTGGTGTGGCGCTGCTAGCTGGCAGTGCCGATATATTTAACTGATATAGTTTTTAATGTTTTTCTTATTTTTATCATTTACCAAAGCTATAATCAACTATTTCTATACTATAAAAAATACTTACCATTATTAAGGGTTGAACCGCCAACGCTGACGCCGTTTCCCTCGCTGCCAGTATCGGTGCTCAAAGCCATCGTTGAGGCCAATAGGCAGGCCAGAACAACCGCGAGGTGCATTAGAAATATTGCAAAGTGATTAAACATGTTGGTTAAACGGTATATGGATTACACTTTGTTTCGAACGTTTTGTTTGCCTTATCAATTATGCAAGAAAACGGTTTTAATTAATTAGTGCCACGGCAATGCAATTTTTTGTTATCATTATTATTATTATTTTTTTGTTATATATTTTTGGGTTTTTTACTATTTCTTCTTTTAAATGAAATCGCTGCACAGTTTTTGTAACCTGATTGTTTAATGCTGTTTATGTTTTTATTATTTTTTAAAATGCTGCACATTTAATTGGTATACACGGGCTTTTTGCATGGATTATTATCCTGAAATGTAAAGGAAAAATTATGAATTGAAATGCCATCATTAATCACAGACTGAAACATAAATTTAAAGAGAAACAACATTAAACGAGACGCGTGGTCCAATTTGCTTATAGATTTATATATGTATGTATTGTATTTAAGGGCAGACTCTGCTGATTTATTTGATACCCGACCCCCAACACAGACGCCGCCACAGACGACAGCAGACATTCAGTTCCCAGTTTCCAGTTCCCAGTCTGGGTATGAGGGGGGCTGTGCAAATTCTTGATTGAATTTCGCCTGACGTAAGCGGATTAAAAATAAATTCTATGAGAAAGCATAAAACAACACACAACACAACAGCAAGAAAGGAAGAAAAAAAAAGGGCGTTATGGCGGTCAAGTCATAAAAACGCAGCAGACAAAAAGCACAAACGTTGCCACCCCAATTGGGCAGCATGAGACAGATAAAAAAATCGCTTATTTGGGGAGCAGGAAAAAAATACAACAAAGCAATAATGAAACACTGATTAATAACCAAATGCCTCTAACTATTTTACACAAATTAAACGCACTGTACAATGGAATGTTCAAATTAGTATGCTTCCAATATGTGTTCAACAATTTCAAAAGCAATTAATTTATTTAAGCTTTAAATTAACAATTAACTGGCTGCCATTCAAGTGCCTTCCGCTTTTGAATTGAAATTCAACCCACAATTGATATCTCATGCCGCAAGTCCCCATCGCCTTAATTAAAACCTAATCAGATACTCCATTAAACGGGGCTCAGACACAGAACAGTATTAAAAACCCCAAGACCATACTTCCCCCAAGCAGAACCTGGACTAAACCGCTTAGCGGAGACGGAGACTTGATAGCCAAACACAACACTGCAAGAAACAAGGCGTCTAAAATGAAAAAACAATACTTTTAAAAATGGAAAAAGACAAATTTTTTAAATGGTCCCACAATTCAGGGTGAAAATCATTGAAACATCTGGTACATCTGATTTAAATAATGAGATATATGCGACTGCAAGTGCAAACTAGAACATATATTTCTCTGGCTCAAACAGCATGCTTTTCCCTTAAATTTCTAATTATGTGCTGCTCACACAGTCATTGAAATAAACATTTTTGAGGAACTGCCAGCTGATTTTTTGCAAGTTAAGTTGGCAGCGCCCCACCAACACTAGCATCCCTAACATTTGTAGTTGTACAACACTAGAAAGTAAGCGTCGGAAATACTGGCAAATAATTGGGTAAATTCTAGAAGCTTTATTATTTTACGAATCAACTTTACAGAGATTCGCAATTAAAGAAATTACTCTGTAAAATAATACTCTACGCAGGTCCAGCCTTCTGTAACCATGGATGTGCCTTACAAGTGTATTATTATGGGCGACGCAAAGTGTGGCAAGACCACGTTTTTAAGACGCCATCAGTTTGCAGAATTCAAGAAGGAGTATGTCCCCACGGACAGGTTTGAAACCAACGTGGACACGCTGATATTCAAGACCACGCGTGGACCCATTCGATTCGATGTGTGGGACTGGGGCAAGGAGGATAAGGAGCTGGAGCGCTATCCGGTTGATTTCTACAAGGACAGCCGCTGCGCGATCTTGATGTTTGATCTGGCAGCGGCGGATGCCTTCGACACATTTCCGAACTACGCCGTAATGATGGAACAGTTCTGTGCAGATATTCCAATAGCCATCTGTGGAAACAAGGCGGATATCAAGGCTGACTTCGAATTCGAGTTGAAGCCAGAAACCTTTTTGGGCTGTGGCACCGACCCAGAGGACCGCATCTATAGCGAAATATCGGTGAAGACGAACAGCAATATTAATGGACCGTTTCTGTATTTGGCACGCAGCCTGTTTAAGGATTTCAAGCTGGAGTTCGTCAAGCTGCCGCCACTGATGTTGCCTCCGCCTGTGTCGTTGGCCTCTGCCTTGGCCAAAATTCAGGTTGTGGATCGTAAACATGTCTAGTTTTAAGTAATTCAAAGAAACAAAAGCACACAGAGGCACTCAACCAACACAGAAACACAATGGAAGAGGGCAATATGCATTACCCTCTATCTCCTGTGGAGTGAAAGGATTCCCCTCTGTCCTACCCACACATACACCTGATGTTTCTAACACCTAAAAGTAAATACACATATTCCATCTGTGGATCAACAATCTATCCCTTAAATCATTACATGTTCATTTGTTTGGTTGCATTACAAAAATATCTCAAACAATTATTTGGCATTCCACATACAATTGTATGTTCCTTCCAATACTTAAATTTTTAGCTAGTTGCTAGCTTTGAAAACTTTTGTGTGAAAGTTCCCTCTTTTTTTTCTCAGTGCGCTGTCAGGTTGCAGTGCCATTGGCATCACCATCGTCATCAGCATCAGCAGCTCCGCATGCTCCTGCTCCTCTGTGGTTATCTGTGGCTGCATGTATGTAGATTCTTTTTCCTTTCTGTTTGCCTTCTAGTCTTCCTGGTTGTGTCATAAGCGCAAAGCAATTTGCTCTGTCAGCTGTTGTTTTACACTCCCCCATTCCCCCACCCCTAACTCTCTGTGTCTCCGTACTCCATGCTGAGTCTATCTCCGGCTCTTGGATCGGCACCATCTCCTGCTCTTGCTCCGCCTTCAATCTCTTCTTAATTGTATTGCAATATGAATGCATTTCAATTAGAATGCTTCCTTCGGGGCCAGCTGTTGTGGATTTGCCGTTTCGTTCAGTCAAAGTTATTGAAATCCATTTGTGAACTTAATTGATTTCCTCGTTTTGCGGATATTTAAAGGGGGGTATGGTGTGCCCCGACCGCCACGACTTTTTAGCCTTGCAGATGATCCTTCCAAAAAAAAAAAGGGATAAGCCCCCACAAAATGTTTGGCATCTCTATTAGCTGAAGTAGTAGCTCCCACAACTCTCTCTCGATGTCTATGCATATTTCACAATATTTCTTGTTTTTTTTCACGCCCCAACGATTTGAACCAAGTTCCCACCCCGCACACACACACACACATCTAGAGGTACTCCCAAAAACAACTTCCTTTCTCCCTGTGCCCCTGTGCCACCTCTATGTGCTTTTTCGCATGCAAAAACTAGAAGAATAAAAAAAGTAAAGCAAAAAAATGCTTTTTGTATTATTGCCAAAAGTTATTATGGCGGGTGGAGCATTCCAATTTTGTTTTGTTTCCTGCCTCCTGCCCTCACTGGCTCTTATTCCTACCCCTCTTTCCACCACCCTCTCTGTATAACAACATCTCCATCTGCATCCTCCCGCTCTTCCCTGCAACGCGTTGCGGTGCATACTTTGCGGTTGACTGGAAAAGTTTTTCCTTTCCACGAAATAAGGAATGTTGATGTCACGGTAGCGTTTGTTGCCTGCCCCCTTAAAGTCGAGTCTTTTGCGAAATTTCGCGGAATTCTTATGGGGAAAATGGGAAAATTAACGCTGATATTTGCATTTGTCAGGAGTTTAATTGAGGTTCATTGAATCATGTTTGAGGCTACATCAATATTGACATATTGTCTGTAAATATCATCCATTATTCATTTATATATAAATTATAAAAATTAGCCATTATGCAGTTTGTGTTTTTCAAATTTTCTGCATTTTAATATATAGAATTAATTTATACCTAAGATATAAATTTCTCAGTATTTTAATAATTATTGTGGGCCCTTAAAAATCTACACAGACATGACAACTCGTATTTTCCAGTACATGCAGCTCTTTTTTAAATTTACAATGGTTTTTTACTTCTCAGGTTTATATTATTTATTATCATAATATATGGCTAATTTTTGGAGGTATTTTAAACTGTATTGAAAATTGATTTTTTTCTCTTATATTTCAGTTGCTTAAATCTTGTGCTGAAAGTGCAATATTCACAGCTCCAATGATGCATCAATTGGTAAGTGCATAAATAGCAAATTTTCACCCCTAAGTATGGTCTAACTGTTAAATATTTTTCCCAAAATCCCTCAAAGGGTATTCACGTGTTTAACTTATGATAAACTAAAATCCATCTGCCAGTAGTTGCCAGTAGTTTTGCTCTGCTCTTAAAGCGTTTGATTTTTGCAATCTAGCTAATAGCGAAAAGTCAACACAGCCGGCGGCGGCTTTGATTCCCAATGACAGTGAGTAATGTTTGTTTTATTTCACTTTTATTTTTTTAACTCCGCTGGTATTTTATGTGTGTGTGTGTGTGTGTGCGAGAGAGGGTAATGGGCAATATCTTGACTCTGCAACGGTCTCATCCTGACGGTTTCGTTCATTTAAATCAATATTAATAGCAATGTTTACGCCCCGCAGGCTGTGAGGATGGTGCCATGTGCCTTGTGCCGGTAGTGGTACCTTTTTGCAGTCTCCTGCAATCTCTTGCTTCTCCTGATGAGTACAAAAAAAAAAGAAATAAGGAAGAAATGCACGCACGAATGCGCTGTATCCTACTGAATGACGGTCGCTATACCCCTGCTGCTGAGACTCCTCCTGCTCCTGCTCCTCCTACTACTATGACTCCTGTTCTGTCTGCTGTACTCCTCCATCTGTGACTCCTGCTCCTACTGAGTTCGGAGTCTCCCACGAAGCATTCATTCGCTTGTGCATAATAAATCAATTTACATTTTCTCTCGCCACACGCAAAAATGAAATGCAAATAATGGCAACAAAACCCCAAGGATGGAGCAGGCAGTACGAATCCAGCTCTGACGGGGTGCGATGGGGTGGCATGGGGGTGGCATGGGGGTGGCAACTGAAAGATGTTGGAATGGGTGAAACACTTTTCACCGCAGAGATTTACGCGCACTTAAATCACAGCCAACAGAATTGATCGCCATCAATGAAACAGCTGTAAGAATGGGTAAAAAAAAAAAATAAAAAAAAGAGAGTGGTAAGTACGAGTTGGTGGGGCAGGAGGGAATGGGTAGGGATTGGGAATTTCCTTCTTAATTTCCTTGGAAATCCTCTTCGTCTGTTGGCCATTTAGGGACACCGGGAATGATGCACTTAATGAGCATAAAATATGCTAAATACCCAACGTTTGTTAGTGTCCTGTTGTATCTTTTCGCTGCCATTGGAGTCGAGTCGTGGGAAATGGCAATAAGCGAATCGCAGGAATTATGCAAAAAAGAGTGTTGATGTAAATCAACAGTTGCTCGTCTTCCCCAACGGCCATATCCATGTCAATGTCCAGGCCCTTAGCTCTTAATAAAGGACATTCAGCAGCTGCAGCTGCCACTGCCACTGTCTGCTCTTTGTTTGTCAAGGCGCCAGGGTCTCGAATGAGCAGAGCAAAAAAAGCAGGCAAAAGCAGGAAGTGCAGGAAAACCCAGCTGCAAGTGGAATTTCCACTGATAAAGTATGAGTAATTTAAGGCGGAACAGACAGAATATGTTTTGCCATTTAATTCATAATCAGCATAAACAATTTACACAATATTCAACACAGAATACCACTGAGAATACAAAGGGAATGCATCCGTTTGGAATCAAAAATGCAATGGGAGATGCCAGAGGCTTTTCTTATGTTTTTCGTTACTAAAGAATTTGTAGGATTTCCGCACAGATTGCAGGCGGAAAATATCCATACTGATCACTAATGTATTTCGTATCCATGCAGCAAAAATTTCACGTTGATTTTCCAGATTATTTTTTGTGCTCCCTTTAATTACAACTTAATCCAGAATATCCGTAGCACTTTAGCACTGTCAATAACTGGCCACTTTAAATGCTCTTTAAAATACAGGAATTTAAGAACAGCATTTTCCGCGCTCTGCACTATCGCATTTCCAACTGGAAAATGGCCATTAAAGGTAGCTACCTCATTGACAACAAGGCAATTTCCTGCTGAATTAAACACGTTGGGCAAGCCAGTGTAAAGCGTAAATGCTTTTGTTAAATAAATATGTATACCGTAGCCTGCATAAATATACATACATACATATATACTTATAACTACAGCAAAGGGGGGGCGTACATAAAGAAAGTTTACTTCAATGCTGAGCAGCGTGATTTTTCATGCGCATAGTTCTGCAGACGGTGGAAAACTTTACCCAAAGAGGTTAATACGCTGCATTCAACAGCAAAGAAGGGGACAGAGTGTAGAGTGTAGTGCGAAGGGGGGCACAAGATGGACAGAGAGAGAGAGAGAGAGGAGAGGGCTGTTGAATGGTTTGCTCGATGGAGCTGCAGTTTCTGCTCATCCGGCTCCTTCTGACAGTGGAAACGCCGCGCATAAACAACTGAAGAAATGAAGCCAGAGCACAAAAGGCAACATTTTGCAGCTTCTTTTGGGGGGCGGCACACCCGCATAAACCAACAATGCAAGACAGCAAAAGTGTTTAATAACTCAAGGCGGCGGCGGCAAGGCCATAGAAGTGGGTTGCGGGTGGGATTTGCGATTGGGTGGGGTTTGGGTGTGGGAGTGAAAGCAGCTGGCCGTAACGCTACCATTAGTGATAGAGCAGCAAGAAGACATGAAATGCTATTTTAGTTGTTACAAATCCTTGTTTGTTGCATTTATTATCGATGCCAGCAGAGCACAGAGACTATAGACAGCTCTTCAATGGCTCTAATGATGGCAGTGCAGTCATTGGTGATCGTTTGTTAATCGGAAGAGACTATTATCGATGACATACGATATGTCTATCTATTGAAATTCAGCAAGAAGGGATCTTTGATTGATCTATTGGTTGTAATGCAGTCAGTCGGGATCTTTGGGATCTTCGTATGGCAGCCACGTAGCTACATCGAACTACAAGCCTAGAAAAGCTTAGATTTTTTACAAGAAAATAACCAGACAAGCTTGGAATTTAATGATCTTTAATTTATTAAAAAAAAAACATTTAAAAAAGGATTACAAAATAGACCCATCTTTCCACATTTAATTTCATTTGAATATCTCTTCTTTGAACTCAATCATCATTTGAATCTGTTTTAGCTCTGACTGTGGGACTGCACAAATGTTTGCTATTTGCGAAATTCTCAAGGAGCGCACTTTGAAAATTGATTAGAAAAAACCCATTTAGAAATGGATTTAAAGACGACTTCATATTCTGTCGGAACAAGATCCCTGTAATTTTTCCACGCCGGCTATTGAACCCTGATCATGAATAGTGTATAAAGTACTTGGGGTGGTCGCAAATGTATCCAACATGTATTCTGCGAATTCAATCTCCCTTTCCGCTTAATCTTCAGGCTATCCCCTGTGCAAGTCGCCCCATTATTTGCGCTAATAACTCACCGTGGCAGCAGTTTGTCTGCTCTGTAGGTTGTGTGCAGTGGGGCTGGACTGGCTGCAGCAGTGGTAGACCATCTGGGGGCGAATTGTCAGTAGGAATCAGCAAATCAATTTATAAATAGACCAGCGAGACGACAGAAGAACAACGCCTTTCCATGCTTCCAACTGCTGCTGTTGTTTTTGCTGTTGCTGTTGTTGCTGTCTTCATTTCTTTATTTGCAACATAATTTAATTAGTAGAACGATAGACCCAGAGATGCCACCGCCGCGAGCCGGTAAGACGGGCGACCTTACCCCAAACACACAAAAATCAACAACAAGTCGAACAACGTTGCAACAACAATATGGATGGTGGCATGGCCAATCAAAATACACACTCGCACATAAACGTTGATTAAGACCACAAATTTGTATTTATTAATGGATAAACGATAATATTATTGCAAGCCACAACAAAGCTCGTGGAAATTCACGCGAAAGAACTACTAGCGGTACGGCACAGCGATTTAATGGGAGTTTTGGGACACGAACGAGAACACGACTGCCGCGCGCAACGGTATATTTGGCACTGAGATACGATGCCTGCCACACGATTGAACATAAACGAGCTGCAGCAGCACGAGACGAGACACAGCATCAACCGAAGGGTGGCCGGCTGTCGTGTCTGGTCGTCGTCTGGCAGTCGTTTCGGCTCCGGCTCCAGCTCCAGCCGCCTGTTAAAAAGATAAACAAATGTTGCGGTTGGCCGTGATTTATGTTACATTTACATCTGTTTACAGCGCACATTTAACAGCCACATCCACATGCTGCTGCTGCTGCTGCTGCTGCACCTAACAGCTGTTACCATGTCCAATGCAAATGCTTGCAGCACTTTTAGTGTTTGGAACAAATGCGTGGAAATGTTCTTTGACGCGTTTTATGTTTATCATGTGAGATGAATGTGTGAGAAAAGTTAAAGATCAGCCCCCCAAAAAAATAAAAGGGGCTTGCATCTGTAAGGCTAAAGTGTTTTGTGTATGCAAGGGAAAATAATTAAGATGCTGGGGATTAACACAAAGTCTGAAATTTGGGCAATTCTTGGAAAATTTGTTTCCTTTCTTTGCTGAGTGTTTTGTCTTTGCCTAAGAAACCAAATTTTATTTCGAAAACTTGTAAAAAAAAAGGGGGAAAAGAATGTGTAAGCGCTGAGTAGTTTAATAATTTCATGAAAATAAAACACACTCGGTTTCACATGAGGTTATGAATTATAGAACTGCTAAAAGTGTTTACTAAAAATATGTACAGCATATTTAGACTATTTGGTCTTAAAAAGTTGGAGTTGGGACTGAAAATTTGCATAAATTTAAATGAAAGCTTCTGTGAATATTCTGTTCCAAGCCACTTAACTAAGAACTTCTTTATTATACTTAATGGAGGAACACTTTCAATGCATAATCTTAATTTTTGTATTTTTCTTGTATTAAATGACCCATAATCCCTATAGTTTATAAATCTTTAAATATGTACTTGGATCTATACATATATTATGATTTGCATCTCACTATTTCCATATATGTACATCATTATTTAGTGGCTCGTCTTATTACTATTCTATTCATTTACCAATCCGTTCTCTACTGGGTTTAAGCACTTTATTTGTAACCAGAACTCTCATATTCCTTAGCTTTGAGTTTTTAATATTGGCAAATTATGCGATAAACTTCCAAACTGCTCTCATTTTCTACGCGATCTACAGCCAAAAATAAACCAAATATTCTGTTCTGTTAGGGCTGAAAGAAAATGCGGCAAGGACAATCATAACATTCTTTGACTCGAAGCTAACATTCAGGACTTTGTAGGGGTAGTGCTAACGTAGGGCTGTTATAGGAATAATTCTCTTAGCTTTTAAGTGATATTTAACAGCTCAATGTTAGCCCAAAGCCATGCTGCTCTTTGCCTGCTGTTCATATTTAACATGCCCGATGAAAGCGCTTACTTAATGCTAACATAGTTGCTGTTACATTGGCAGTGCAAAGAGAGTACAGTGGCCCCTGTTAACTGCGCACCCTTAAAATATACCGTTATTAACCCCTTCTGCAAAGAGCGAAGCGAAGCTTTATCCGAAAGCTTTCAGGCCAATAAACTTTCCAAGTTCGATTAAAGTTCAATTTAAAGTTCCAACTTGAACTTCCAAGCAGTGACAGCTCAAAAAGAAAGCCAAAAATCAAATTGAGAGAGCAGAGAACAGAGAGCAGAGAGCATTGGTAATCAGCTGATTGTCAAAAGTCGGCAACCCCCCCCCTGCCCACAGCTGCCAGCTGCCGAGGGAAAACAGTAACTTTGTCGCTTGGCTCCGTTCCGTGAGCCCCCAAATGGTCGTTGGTATCGCCATGGACGCGGGGTGCGTCACCCAGTGACGTCGACTAACGGGGCGCATGCAAAACAGTTACGCGTTCTGTGCGAGTGTTCTTTGTGTGTGTTTTTGTGTTTGTGTAGTCGCGGAGTTGCATTGAAAAACGCTTTACAAGAGTCAAAACAATAGCCGAAAAAGAAAACAACGCCAAGTACTAATAGGCCTTGACCCGAAGCAAGGCAAGCCAAGCGGAAAAGGTGGGCACCAGAGCCACAGCAGCAGCAGCAGCAGCAAGGGCTGTCGCCGCATCATGAGGCAACACCAATTAACAGCAGCAGCGACAGCAACAATAACGCGAAAGCCAACAAAGAGGGACAGGCAGTAAAGTAACCAGAGGGAGGAACCTGCAGAGAGGTGCTGGTGCTGCTCTGCGGTGTGGCCTACTTTTACGCACCTGCTCTGGAGCCCTGGAGCATGGGTTCATGTCTTGGCAGCTGCGTCACAGCCGAAGCTGCCACCAACACCAGCACCACCAGCTCCAGCACATCCACAGCATCGTCTTCCTCCACGGCCTCGACGTCCTCCTGTGTGGCAGCAGCGGCAGCTGCCAACAGCTGGCTTTGGTAAGGTCTCCCATCTCCTCGCCCCTGGGAAAGATAGAACGGTACAGCACTTAATTAAAATTTAATTTCGTTGACTTTGTGGCGCGCACAAAAGTGTAGAACGGGTTACTACCCCACCGAAGCATTCGCCAAATCCAATAAGCGCCCCCAATCAATACGAGCTTAGGCGCACAACCACACAGAGGGGAATGGGAGGGCAGGGCAGGGCAGGGCAGGGTTGGGCTTACTAATTAGCGCTAGGATTGCTCCATTAAATGCCTGCACGCTTGATGTCCGAGCGCCTTAGTCGCTGTCCAAATTGCATAAGCAAACATAATTTGTGGGAGAGAGTGGGGGGCGGTACTGGCCGTGGAGCTCCGTTCAATGGAGAAGGGTCAACAGCCTGAAAGTATGCAATGCTCGAGGGCCTGCATGTTGCCACAAATAATGCCACAGACGACGTGGCTTCCACGGATGTATGTATGTATGTATGGAGTGTATTGCACCAGTAAGCGGGGGTTGGTTGTTGGTCACACATAAACAAGGGAAAACAAAAGCCACAAGTTAATCAAGTCAAGCGAACGTGAACTGTACCCTATACGCCTTCCTACTGGTGAAGCAGAAAAACTGATCGAATTGTTCCCATTTTTATTACACAAGATGGAGCACAAATGAACAAATTTCTATAATAGATTCCATTCGGATTAATTGGCAGATCCAACTGACTGAATCTAGGCAGAAGTCGAATTTTTTTAATGTATTATATAGCGAAAAAAGCCAAAAAAAGAATTCATAAATTTATATTGGAGCTAATGCTACTGATTGTATGCTAACCAACACTCCTGATCCTTATACAGCACTGTCGATGGTTTTACAGCACTACCGATCATTATACAACACTTTTGATCATTGTACAACACTATCGACCGTTATACAACGCTCTCGATCATTATACAACACTGTCCACAACTGTACAACACCAACCAGCACTGCACATCTTCCATCAAATCAACCCAAAACCAATATACCCCCCAACAAATAAGCAACGAAGAAAACAAAACCAAACATTGAAGACCACAAAAGGTGCAACGTATGCACTGAAAATACAATTTGCATTTTGCCACTTACAGGCGTCGCCGCAGGCCCAGGGCTAGGCTGGCCAACGACGAGCAGGCGGAGCAGGAGCCCGAGACAGAGCTCATATCGAGTGGCGACAGGACAGGGACAGGGACAGGGGAGGACAGCGGTGCCAGCAGCGACGCGGCCTTGTCTATCGCATTCTGAAGTTCAAGAGGAAGCAACAATGCCCCCAGTTCCTGGACAAATACTGGGAGCAACAGCCGAGCTATGCAAAGCTACAGAATGACAGGTGCGTGGATGCCACATACACATATGCCCATCCACAATAACCAACCTCCAACCCCCTTTTTTTGTAGTGCAATATCCGATATACAGCTGCAGAATTTGGATGTTTTCAAGCTGCTCAATGCCCAGGCAACGCCCAGCAAGGAGACTGAGATGCATGGCAACTATCAGCGGATGGCCAGCTCGAGGGCCAGCTCATCGCTAGATCTGGAGTGGGAGCACGAGTACTCACAGCTGCGGAACTACCAGCAGGAGCAGAAGGAGCAAAAGGTGCAGCCAGCGGCAGAGAACGAGAACACCCCACCGATGGCGGCCAAACAGCCGCGTTACGCTTCCCTGGACCAACTAGCGACCGCTGCCTCGATGGCTGCCGGCAGCCATGGACGACATGGAGCCGCTCGATATCCGCGTCTGGGCAGCCATCGGCATGGAGGGTCCTTTACGCGCACCTCCTGCTGTTCCTCGACACAGAACTCGTGGTCGCACATCTCCACGCCAGAGTCGCTCGAGTGGGATGTCGACGAGGAGCGGGAACAGCAGCTGCAGCTGCGCCAAGAGGACGACAATCTGGACGATGAGACGCTCAAACTGCTGCACCAAATCGAGCAGCTGAAACATCATGTGCTCCAGGAAACGGGCGATGGCCTGAGCATGGGAGCTGTGGCTGTCGTTGGGGAGGTGACGGAGGGTCTGCAGTTTAGGGCCACGCATTTTGGAGGCGGCTCCGAGCTTGAGGCATCCATAAGTTGATTTCTACTGCGAAGCGAGAGAGTAGTTGATGTACATAAGAGTATTCTAAGAGCAGATGAATGAGGATCCTTTGAGGCCGTGTATGTAGTTTATTGTAATAGAATAATTCTCGATTTATAGCAAATATATAAAATAGATGGGTATCCCCGTAGACTCCAAATAACACAAAACAATGCACGCTCGAGGGAATGAAATGAAATGTACTTGGGAGAGTGAATATTTATTGGATCATTTAGCTGCCATCTGCTTTCAAAGATAATCCACACCAATAATTGATTTCTTTGATTAGATTTATTTTCATTTATATTTAATTGGAACTACTGGAACTGCTGCTGCTCTTCAGATCTTTTATTTTGAATAGATTTATTTTTATATTATTTATTTTTATTTATAATTGGAACTACTGGAACTAGCTGCTCTTCAGATCTTTTATTTTGATTTGATTTATTTTTATACTATTTTTTTTTTTTTTATTTATTTATAATTGGAACTACTGGAACTGCAGTTCCATCAAATAATCAATTTAAACCCTGCCAAATCTTATAAACAATCAATAACTGATTTAAGCGCTTAATAATCGGAATTGAATTTCATTTTATTTATTGGCATTCCTTACCTTGCCACAGGCGCCGTTGCGTCAAAACTTACACAATAAATTGGCATTAGAAAAACTATTTTCCCAATTTTTTAATTGAAAATGCTCAGTTTTAAATTCGTCAAGACATAACTACAAGCAAATACTATAAATTGACATTTAATTTAATTTGCAGGATTACCTAAAACTTCTCTTCCCAAAACTTTACTTCAAATCCAACACCTATAGTAATTTCCTTACTCTATCGAGCGTGTACTGTACATAGTATCTGATGATCCCAAGCAATTAAGTGCCTAGCCTACGAACCCATTGCATCAGCAGTTTCTGCTCCCAGAAACAAATTCCTCCCAAAAAAAAAGAACATTAAATAGAAAAGCCTTCGTCAAGCATATCGTAAACCCGCAACATTAGCAGCACAGATAACTCAATTTTCCTATATCGATTATAGAGTAATACGTGAATAATTCTCGCTTTTGAAAGTGTCTTACTTTGCAACGAGAAATCCAAATCAAATCAAACCAAAGCCTATTATATTTTCAAAGTTTATTAATGAAAACGAACAGAATACAACAAAAAATTACGTCCTTAAAGAGAAAGAAAGAGAGTCCCTTCAGAGAGAAAGTGAGTTATGGGAGCAAACAGAAATTACGAGTATATTTAGTAATCAATTTTTGTTGTGTGGCGGGTACAAGGTGTGACCTTTCTCAAAATCTCATTTATTTATTTATTTATAAACTAAATATTAAAGAAACATTTGTAGAAAATATATATGTGTGAAGTGTGTGTGTGTGTTAAGGTTTCGTTTAACAAATCGTAACTAAGTATTCGATATTCGATAAATGGCAGTTTTTGCTTTCTATATAGGACTCTCTAACCGATTTTGCTCTTTAATTTATCCCAGAACGAGGGCTCCGCTGTGGCCTCCACTTCCAGTTGCTAAAGATAAAATGTACAAAAATATTATTAGAGCTGTGCCTTAAGGGATTCTTGTGCCGAAACTCACCTTAATGGGCTGCTGCTGCTGCTGTTGCAGCTGTCCACTGGTGCTGTGGCCATAATTATGGCCTGCCCTATAGCCTCCCAGATCGCTGAGATCCTCCACTTGAACCTGCTGCTGCTGGCCAAGATCCTCGATATTCTGCGACTGCTGTTGTCCCGCCTCGTATTTGGCATTCCAGTCCACGTCCTCCTCCACTTGCTGCTGCTGCTGTCCCTCGTTCCAGCCCAGTTCGAGCTGCTGCTGCTGGCCCAAGTCCTCGACCTGCGGCTCCTCGCCTGCGGCACGACTCCATTTACCCAAATTGGCACTGGCGGTGGCCGAAGAGCCAGTGGGTCCGCCACTGGCCGAGGCATAGGCTCCGCCCACGGGCACATTGATGGTGTAGTCGCGGCGACTGTACTCGTAGCCAGCGCTGGGCTGGGCTGATACGCGACTGTAGGGCAATGGCGGCGGCGGCGGCGGCGGTGTGGACAGGATGGGGGATGGGCGGGGATAGGGACGTGGCGTCCGCGTCTCGCCCTCTAGGCCGGGTTCGTCTGTCTCATCGTAGCTCTCCTCGTATGTGTGTGGTGGCTGATCGCCACGATCCTTGGAGAAGATGGGCATGTAGACATGCGTGGAATTGGTCCTGCCAGGATCCACCACATAGCCACCATTCGTACTGCCACCCTCAGGCAGATCGATCAAACCCTGACTCAGCAGATACAGGATACGTCGCCAGATGACCAACTCCTGGCCAAACTTACCGTATCTGCTCTGCAGCCTGCCCAGCGTCCACTTGTGGGTCTTCACCCAGTTCTGTTCTTCGGCGGCGCTCATCAACTTGCGATGATTCAAGTAGGTCAGCCAGCGTAGCTCGCCCTCGCGGAACTGCTGCAAGTCGCTCTGCGTCATGCCGTAGTAGTGGGCAATCTTCTGGATGCGCTCCAGCTCCAGCTTCTGCCACTCCTTTAGCTCCTGCACGGAGATGTCGTACTTGGTGGCAAAGTCCTGCAGCAGCTTCGTGTCCTGACTCTGCCAGCTCTTGAGCTGCGTCTGGGTCATGTTCTGGGTGCGAATGAACTCGTACAGGCGATCCCTTTCGCGACGCTGCCAGTCGGTCAGCACTTTCAGCTGGCGTTGCTCCAGCAGCTGCTCCTCGGCAAATTTGCCAACGATAATGCGCTGCACTGGCGCCAGCTGGCCCAAGCGCACCTGATACACCTGCGCCAATTGGCTCTGGAAGCTGTCGTCGTGTGAAATGAACTCGAGCAGCTCCTTGTCGGTAATGATCACTTTGGTGACCACCTCCCTTAGGCGAATGCGCTCCTGTTCGTGCCAATTGTTCGCCTGTCGCACGGTGTCCGTGGTGAGGCCCATGTCCGCAAAGCGACTGAGCTTGTCGTGTATGAACAGACGCAGCGTCTCCACCGAAATCTGATATTGTGGCGCCAGCACATGCACATCCCGGAGCAGCAGCGTCTCCAGTGCCTGTCTGCTAATGCCCGGCTTGTTTACGGCCTGCAAGTAGATTCGCTCCACCTCGCGGCTCTGCCAGGACATGGCTGCACCACTATCGATCTTACGTTGATCGTGCAAACGCTTTAGCTCAACCCTGTACCATTCCTTGATCGCCTCCTCACTGGTCACACGGTGCTGCTGGCTGGTCTCCTGCTGAGGCTTCTGGTCAGTGCTCACCGCGATGAGTCCCTCATTCTGGGCGCTGTTCTCCAGCCACAGATGAATGTCCTCAATGGTCACATGATACTGGCGGGCAATCTGCTCGTGCACAGCCTTGTTGCGAATGAGATAACTCTCGAACTCGTCCTTTCTCATGGGACGCCACTTGGTGACGCTGCGAAGGCGCGACAGCAGATCCGTCTTCCAGATGGGTTGCTCCTGCTGCTGCTGCTGCTGATCCTGCCAAATGTTGACAATCTCCTCGTACTTGACATTATTCTGTGGCCTATCAATCTCTCCAATCAGAGTGAGACGTGCCGCCTCCTTTTGCACCCACTTCTCCACCTGCTCGACCGTCACATGATAGTCGCTGGCAATGCCATCCAAACGCTGCTTGTCCCGCTTCAGGAAGTCCACAAACTCCTGATAGCTGGCGCCATTCCGCTGCTGCTGCAGCCAGTCGTTGAAGCCTTGGCTAATCTGCTGCTGCCACTGGGTCTGCTGTTCGAATTGAACCAGACCGGAGCTCTGCAAGCGCTTCAGTTCCTCGCGTGACCACTGCTCCACCTGATCGATGCTGACGTGGTGGGTTTGCGAGAGACTTTCGAGGCGATCGTGATCCTTGGTCAGCTCACGTTCCACATCCTCGTAGGGCAGTTCCTGTTGCTTCTTCAGCAGCAGCTCGAGGAGACGCTGTTGCTCCAGCGCCTGCCATTTCGTGAGATTCTCCACTTTGCCCTGGCCCGTGCTCTTCAGATTGACCAACTGCTGGCGCAGCCACTCCTCAATCTCAACGACATTCACGGAGTACTGATTGGCCAGCTTTTGGAGACGTTCCCGCTCCTGATTCAATTCCATTTCGAATTCCACGTAGGTCAAATGATTCTGTTGTTTGACGAGGTTTTGTAGACGCTCCAATTCGGACACTTGCCACACACTGAGACTCTTCAGCGACTCTTCGGTGTTGCCACGCAGACGCTTCAGCTCCGAGATCATCCACTGCTCGATTTGCTCCACACTGAGGCGATACTGATCCGCCAGCTGATTGAGATGGGCACGATCTGCGAGCAATTTCTGTTCGTATTCCGCCGTGGACAGTCCATTCTTGTATTCGGCTATTAAATTCTTGATGTAATCACGTTCCACCAGCTGCCAGTTTTGCAGTTGCTCCATTTCGAATTGTCCTTTCTTGTGCAGATCCTCAATGACTTCTTTTACATAGGTCTCGACCTCCACAACACTCACATGATGTTGTTCGGCGAGTTTGATTAAGAAACGACGATCGTTTTGCACCTGCAAGCAAGAATAAATAGTTTAAGGGTTAAAAATTAATTAGGTACAAAAAAAGGAAAAAAAAAAAGAGAAGGAACGTTGTGAGTCGCTTCTATGGACGCGACTCTACTTTTAAACCATTAAATTCCATTTCGAATTCCACGTATCTAACGTTCCCCCTTAACTCTTCGAGTACTTGTATAACCATCTCTTGCTTACCTTGGCCTGAAACTGTTCCAGCGTAATATTCGAGTGCTGCTGGAGTAGCGACAATATGCGCTGCTGTTCGGTTCTTTGCCACGCGGACAGCTGCTCAATGTTCAGTTTGCCCTGCTGCTTCAAACGCTCAATCTCCGTTTGCACCCAACGCTCAATCTCCTCCACTGAGGTGTGATACTGGAAGGCCATTGTCTGCATGTGTTCGCGATCCTTTTCAAGCTCGGTGCGCAACTCCTCGGCGCTCCACTGTTTGTTCTGGCTGATCAATGCCTCGAGGCGTTCGCGTTCGGCCAGCTGCCAGGAGGTTAGGTTATCGATCTGCAGCTTACCCTCGTCGCGCATGCGTGCCAGCTCCTGCTTCATCCACAGCTCAATTTCCTCCACCTGAACGCTATACTGGCGCGCCAAGCGTTCCAACAGCTCACGATCCTGCCGCAGACGAGCCTCCAGTTGTTCCGTGGATTTGTACTGCTGCTGGGCAAGATTCTTGAGATGGAGACGCTCCACCTCCTGCCAGTTGGTGAGCTTCTCGCTGGGCTTCAACAGACCCATGCCAATAAAGCGTTGCTCCTCCTTCTTGACAAACTGTTCGATCTCCTCGATCTGGACATTGTGCTGCATGGCAAGGCTCTGCAGCTGGGCGCGATCCTTGAGCAGCCACTTGTGGAACTCCTCGACGGTATAGTCGCGATCCTGCACCATATTGGTGAGATTTCCACGCCACTCCAGCTGCCAGTTCTTGAGGCGTTGCATCTCGATGAGGCCCTCGTCTTGGAGCTTCTGAATCTGCTGCTTGATCCACAGTTCGATCTCCTCCACGCGCACCTGATGCTGCTGGGCGAGGCTATAAAGATGCGTCTGATCGCGACCGATCTTCGTCTCGATCTCATCGATGGACAGATCGTTCTTGTTGATCAGATCCAACAAACGCTGCCGTTCGATCTTCTGCCAATGATTGAGCTCCGTTTCCATGTGCAGACGACCCTCGCGCTGTAGCCGTTCGCCCTCCGCCTGGATCCACTTCTCAATCTCTGAGACCTGCACATTGTACGTGCTGGACAGGTCCTGGAGTCGCGCCCGATCGGCCAGTAGTTTCCGCTCAAAGTCTTCCAAGGAATATTTATTTTGCTGCACCAATTTGGAGATTTCCAGGCGCTCCACCTGCTGCCAATCCTTGAGTGCCTCGGCCTTGACCAGACCCTCGCTTTGCAGGCGCAGTAGCTCCTTTTTCAGCCACTCTTGAATGTCCTCGACGCGCACCTGATAGGTGTTGGCCAGCTCAAAGAAGTGCGACTGATCGCTCTTGATCTTCGCCTCCAGCTGCTCGACTGTCAGCGAATTGTGCTGGACGAGCTGTTGCAGACGCTCGCGCTCCTTCTGCTGCCACAGTACCAGCTCCTGTTCGACTTCCTTGAGCAGGCCCTCCGACTGGAACTTCTTCAGTTCGCTCTTGATCCAGCCCTCGATCTCCTCCACCTTCACCTTGTACATGCGCGCCATTTGCTCCAGCCTGGCGCGATCATTGATAATGGAGTTCTGGAACTGCTCGATGGTCAGCTGATTCTGTCCGACAATGTCGCGCAGATTCGTGCTCACGCTGATCTGCCAGTCCTTGATGTGCTCCTCCAGCTGCTGCTGGCCGCGCACCTGCAAACGTTGCAACTCCTCGCGCTGCCACTTTTCCAGCTCGTCGACGCTCACGCGATATTTGGTGGCCAGCGACTGGATGTAGTTGCGATCGTGGATCATCTGCTGCTGCAGATCACCCACCGAGCCCTGATGCTGCCGCAGTATGCTCTCGAGGCGCGTACGCTCCGAGCTCTGCCAGGCGGAGATTTTGGATACCTGTTCGTTCTGCTCCTTGATGAGATCCCCAATGCGGGCCACCTCACCGCGCAGCCATTGGGTCTGGTTCTGCATATCGCCCTGATACTTGATCGACAGATCCTTCAGTCGCTGCTGATCGTTCCAAATGGAGCTCTGGAGTGCGGCAATTGTCGAATTGTGCTGACGAATCAGCTCATCCAGACGCGCCTGCTCCTTGGTGTTGTCCTCCGTGAGGGAGCCCGAATTGGGATAGGTCTGAATGGGTCCCTGTGGCACATGTGGCACCTGTGGCGCCAGTGATTCGTTTACTTTATCGAAATACACATACAAACGCTGCAGTTCCTGGCGCTGCCATTGCTGCAGCTGCTCCTGGGTGACGCCATGCTGCTGGGCCAGCTGTGACAGCTTTCTGCCATTCTCCTGCTGCCAGCGATCAATGTCCTGTGCCGAGAAGCCATTCTGGTGAATCAGCCAGTCGAGGCGACTCCTCTCCTGCCGCTGCCAGGCGCTGGCATCCTGCACCTGCGACTGGTACTGTCCCAACAGCGCCTGATAGCGGGCGAGCTCACGGCGATGGAACTCCTCCAGCATTGGCAATGTGATATGATAGCGCTGCGCCACGCCCGACAGGCGATCCTCCTGCTGACGCTGCCAATCCTCCAGTCGCTGCGGTGTGGTCAGATACCAGAAGAAGCGTTCACGCTCCTCCCGCTTCCACTGCTCGTCGCGCGGCACCGACGACTGGCCAAAGGGACGCTGCTCATCCAACACCAATTTGCCATCCTGCCAGCGCTGCTGCGACTCGGAGCCACCCACAGAGCTGGTGCCGTCGGGATGCGTGGTTATGGTCTTGTTAAATCTGCGTATAACCACTGTGGAGCTGGAGCCAGGGGCGCTGATTTGATTGTAGGCACTGCTGGGTATGGTCAGGGGTGCACCGCGTACACCTCCGTCCACATGCACCACCGAATTGTAGCCCACGACTGTGGGTTCCATATTCTCGCGCACCCAATCGTGGATGGTCTTCTTCCTCGTGATGGTGGTGGTGGTGCTGCTGCCGGCTGGCAACGAGCTCTGCGATTGCGTATAGAAACCCTGATTCATTTGGGCTGCATTGCCATAGTTGCCCGTCAGCTTGGTGGCCTCTGTGCAGTTGCGATGCACCACATAGGTTTTGCCATCGATGACCTTCACCTCGGCGGGATAGGCATAGTTCTTGACCTCATCGAAGCCACTCAAATCGACTGGCTGAAAGGAGCTCAGGTCCACGCTCTGCTGCAGATTGCCGGAGCTCACATTGCTGGAGAAACGTTCCAGCAGCTCGGCGGCCTTGGACTCGAAGAAATTTGGCTGCGAAATGGTGGCATAGCTGACGCTGCCCTGTCTCATATCCGCCACCAATTGTTGGCTTATTTGCGAGCTCAAGGCATCCAATTGGCCAGCACTCTTGCCGCAAAGATCCAAAATTGAAGCTGTGTAAGCACAAGGCATAAGTATAAATAGGTAAAAAAAAAGGCTTAAAGACGACTCACCACTCCAGGAACCTGCAAAGCCCAGACTATTGCTGCTGCCTTGAGACAGCGCATTATATTCCTGCTTCAAACGATTCGCCAGCTCACGCACATCATTGAAGTGTGCATAGGCCCAGGTGCTCAATTGTGGTGCCGACTGCACATAGGAGGATGTTTGAGAGGCCTGTCCACCGCCATACGAAGACGACGACTGACGGGAGCTATAGCTGGATCTGGAGTAACCATCAAAGGCCTGACTGCTGGCCACAGCCAAGAGCAGGGCACACAAGCCCAAAGCTGCTCTCATGCCGGAAAAACTGCAGCGAGAATAGCGAGAAAAACTCATGTCATTCATAAAATAGTTGTATATATAATTATGGGAGAGGCCTTGGCGGACAAAAAATTGAAATCAGAAATTGCCTTTTGGAGGGCTCCGGTAATATAATTTTTTTATTTTTTTTATTGGTCTGTCGATAAGACCCGCGTGGAATTGAAATCTAGACCAGGCACACAGAGCCATGGGGATTATCATCGCGTTCTATGGGTCGACAAAAGGTTAATCAGGCGATAATATAAGCCGTACCATAAGTCGTATTCGAGTGCGGATCGTGTGTATATGTATATGTATATGGTATGTATGTATGGTTGTGTACTCTAATTGGGAGAAGGCTCATCATCAACATCATCAAATTTTTGGGTTCTTATTTGTTTCGGGACCTATGTGGCCTCCAAATTCCCTTTCCATCCGGTGTTCGGTGATAAGTGAATATACCCCTGGCACCCATGGACATGGCAACATGTGAACAATCCACACAAAACTGATGTCTGATTTCCTTTTGCTTCGACACCTTTCATAACACAATTTTATTTTCTTTTATTTTCCTTCCGTCAAATGGGTCACCAACTCAATCTCAGCCAATGCATTTTTCCTGCCCAATTTTTCAGTGTTATTTTTATTTCTGGAACGGCAGCCACTGCAGGCGCTGCTCTGTCGCTGCTGCTGCTGCAGGTTTATTTTTAAATTATATTATTTTTATATTTAATGCAAGTCTTTTTTTGGCTCTATTTTTCGACTGTTTCTTTTTTTTTGGTTTTTTGTGTGCTTTATGCAAAGAATTTTCTTTTTCTACTCACTTTCCAATGCGGCTGCACTTGTGCCTTGTATATTGCTTAGTTTTTGTTCGTTTCACAGGACACTTCACTGTACTTTCACTGCACTCCTACCGTTATGTTTGCGTTTTCTGTATTTTCTGTATTTATTTTTCGAATTAGAAACAACCGTTGCGCCTCGTGGCGCTGCCGCAACTGACTGCCGAGCGGCAGGCATTGAATCTTTTATTGGAAAAATTCTCAGCACTAGAGAGAATGACAGAGCGAGAGGAGAGGAGCGACAGAGGGGATCATCTTTGAGAGCGAGAATATTCTCTTATCACTTCGATGGCGCTCTGCTCTTGCTTGGGAACTTCCTAAAAATCAAACAAAAATATTTATCACAAGAAGAAAATAATAGATCCATTTGGCAACGACGTCATGGGCCCAAACGGAAAGCCGGTCCGGTTCATGAATGGCAAAACGGCAGCATTTAATGAGCTCATATTCCTACCTCCAAATGAATCACAAGCCGCTGGCTGGCTTCGGTTTAATTTTGTTTGCACTGCGAACGGGCAATAGATCAATATGCGGACTTGAAATAATGAATTTATATGCGTGATCTCATGAGAACTGCCAACTGCAGCTGCGTTTCTCAGAGAATGCCTGTTTTACATGACAGATTGGGGGGTTTGGCGTGGGTTTGGCGTGGATGTGTGTGTTTAACGAGTGTCTGTTTGGGGTGTCTCGCGACTGTGAGTGATTCAAAACAATTAGACAAGAAATATGCAAATCTAAAAGTGACCTTGGCGACCCCCTGCCCCTGCCCCTGCCCACTGGACTGACATTTCAATTGGATTTGATAAGACGAAAGCGAAATAAAACCGCAAAGGGGTTAAACCGGGCTGCGCAGGTTTTGCAGCATCCTGGCTGCCACTTAGAATGTTACGATTTCTATTGGACTAATTAGCATGCAACCACAAGATGATTTAGACAATATTTGGAGACCATTGTGGTGTGTGTTTTGAGGTTTATATTTCTTGGTATTGGAAGCTAAATTTTTGACAAAAATCAGTTCGATTAGATGAGAATATTAAAGCTTATATTTTCCATGGAATTGCGTATGATATTTTTGCCAAAAAAAAAACCAGAATGAATTACAGCTGAAAGATAACCAATAGGGGCTAGCTTAAACTTCCTAGAACACACACAAAATAAATATAATTAACAGGTATCCCATGGGCCGTGACATTCCCTCTCCTGCCTTTCTTTTCTTTCGTTTCTTTTCGTTTTCTTTACTAGGAATCCCCTCAAAGCCCCCCACAGAATACAAATCTGAAGTGCTCTTTTGGCCAACAACAAAAAAAGATACTTTAAAATCTCACCATAAATAAATCATAAATCATTGACCACATTATGTTTGGCTCGACAACGAGCTGTGAGATATTGCCTGAGATGTGACACCATGTCACAATGCGTTCTATAAAAATCAGCAGATTTATAAATAAAATAAAAACAATTATATTTCAAATTCAGTTAATGACGAGTGGGGGGTTACTCATCACCTGGCGAGCAGACTCAGGCGGGATTCTTAGGAAAAATGTAAACAACAAAATGCAAAAATAATACTTAACCAAAATCCGGTTTTTAGGCAAATTTCAAGTTCAAATTTGAAATTTGAAATAAGATGTGCCAGCGCCATCTGTTGTACGCAGTGCTGTAAAACACTAAGGCACAATTTTTTTTTGAATGACTTCCCTCTCTAGGTCTTACACCTTGCAGCTCCTTAGATATGTATCGGCTAGGCGCATAAAATATCGCATAATTGACGCACCTTTTGGACAAAAAAGTTAAAAATATATTTAAAAAATAATGCAATAAGTGAGAGGCTGGACAAATTAGCTTATATAGTAGATAATTGATTAATTAATGGAACAAAATTATGTGCACAGTGCTGAGTGTGCTAGCCAGCGAATAATTCCAAACCGAAAATCAGAAAATGAATAAAAATAACGTTTAAGGTGCTTCAACACTTGACAAAACGCAGAAGAGAAGAAGCACAAACTACGTGGTGTTCTTGTGTGCGCCAGAAACTTGTGGAAATAATTGAGTATAACACACAAGCCACAATTAGTGAGAATCGGTGGAAAATGTACCTGCTGTGCACTGTGGCCAAAATTCGTGTAAAACATAAACTGTCATAGAGAGAGAAAGGAAGCATGGGCATGGCCATTCTGCATGCGCCCGAGCAAGTGAACGCGGAAGCGGAAGCCAGAGTCACCAGCAGCTGTCCAACAACAGAGAAGAAGTCGAAGGAGCAGCAGCAGCAGCATCAGCTTCCATATGGCAGAACATCGAAACGCGTGCAGTTCTATCGTTTTGCTTTGTTTTTCATTGCTGGCAGCTTTGCGGCCTTCTCCTTTCATGCGTTGACATCATCATCCAGCTGGAGGCTGCGGCATCAATTGCATCATCTGCCCAATGCCCACTATCTGCAGACGCGGGACGAATTCGCCGTCTACTCGGTGGAGGAGCTGAATGCGTTCAAGGAGTTCTACGACAAGAGCATCAGCGACAGCGTTGGCTCCAGCTATTCGGAGGCGGAGCAGACCAACATCAAAGAGGCTTTGGGCGCGCTACGGCTCGCCCAGGATATGCATCTGTCGGGCAAGGATGACAAGGCGTCGCGACTGTTTGAGCATGCCCTGGCCCTGGCGCCCAAGCATCCGGAGGTGCTGCTGCGTTACGGCGAGTTCCTGGAGCACAATCAACGCAACATTGTGCTGGCGGATCAGTACTACTTTCAAGCGTTAACCATCTGTCCGAGCAACTCGGAGGCATTGGCCAATCGCCAGCGCACGGCAGATGTGGTGCAAACGCTGGATGAGCGGCGTTTGCTATCGCTGGACTCCAAACGGGACGCCCTGTCGGCCATACACGAATCGAGCTCGGCTCTGCGTCGCGCCAAGAAGGAGGCTTACTTCCAGCACATCTACCACTCGGTGGGCATTGAGGGCAACACCATGACACTGGCCCAGACGCGATCCATTCTGGAGACACGCATGGCCGTCGATGGCAAGTCCATAGACGAACACAACGAAATCCTGGGCATGGATCTGGCCATGAAGTACATCAATGCGAGCCTGGTGCAAAAGTAAGCAAATAAATGAATTTATTTTGCACTCAGCTAATGGAAAATATCCTTTAAAGACTGGAGATAACCATCAAGGACATACTGGAGCTGCATCGTCGCGTTCTGGGGCATGTGGATCCCATTGAGGGCGGCGAATTCAGGCGGAATCAGGTCTATGTGGGTGGCCATGTGCCGCCCGGACCTGGCGATTTGGCGCTGCTTATGCAACGCTTCGAACGGTGGCTAAATTCCGAGCACAGCAGCTCCCTGCATCCTGTAAAGTGAGTGGAGGAAATCCAATCCAATTGATGGATTCATATACTCAAGCAATCTGTTTTACTTTGCAGCTATGCTGCCTACGCGCACTACAAACTGGTGCACATACATCCCTTTATCGATGGCAATGGACGCACTTCGCGTCTCCTGATGAACACCCTGCTGATGCGTGCTGGCTATCCGCCCGTAATCATACCGAAGCAACAGCGCAGCAAATACTATCACTTCCTGAAGCTGGCCAATGAGGGTGATATACGCCCCTTTGTGCGTTTCATTGCGGACTGCACCGAACGAACGCTGGATCTGTATTTGTGGGCCACCAGCGATCTGCCCCAACAGATACCCATGCTCATACAAACGGAGAGCGAGGCGGGCGAGCAGCTCGCCCAAATGGCCCACATCAAAGCTCAAAGCGCATCCATACCGGAATTCTATGAGTTCTCCGGCTCGGGATTTATGCCCTGACACCAAATTAGCAAATTCTTTCAGTTATTTATTTTTGTGTATATATTTTTTTAGCGTATTAGCGTACAATTCTTTCTCCGCTTTGTGTGTAGTTTATTTAATGCCGTGTTTTGTCAGACTGTGATCGTATTTAAGCTTAAAGAACTAACCAAAAAATAACAATCTGCTGCTTGACAGATTATGCAAATCAATGCACAAAACAAATCAATCAGTGCGAGTAGTGCTACGAGTATACATATATTAAAATTAAGTAGCAACTTGTATTGTGTGTATGTGTAAGCCTACAAATATTGTGGCGTTTATTCCAAGTTTGAGGGAAATCTCGAGGTGTTCCCTGGACAACGTGTAAATATGACATATGCTAAGAAACTGATTTGATGCTGTAGTTTTTCTTTAAGAATTTTTTTTGCTGGGTTTCGTAAGAGAAATCTAATAGCCTAGGCCCTACGGTTTTATTGTGCACTTTTTGAGCAGTGGATTGGTGTAGCAAGAAAAATCGTACATTAGGACATTAAATATGTCATTAAAGGGCCATATTTATTGCATAAGTTCACATGCGAGTGGGTTAAACCAGATATTATAATAGTAAGATGCGTAGTGATTGAAATGCCCATACATTTCCATAGTATACCATTTTTTTTGACTGCCTGCAGACACTCTTAAAAACGAACATGCCTGATCGATGGGCGAGCTTTCAGCTCAGCTAAGCAGCAATGTGCGCCCTTGGAATGGCGGCAGCGTGTTTGATTTTTTACGCTTTCAGCTGGTGTGTGCCGTGCGAGCCTCAAGTGCAGTCTCAGCTCACATTTGACGGTATGCCGTGCACAAGCAAATGAATTTCGTTTTCATGCATTGAACGACACTTAAGAAATTCGTAGGCTATTCTTAAACAAAGCCAATCTTTTTCAAATGCATAACTGGTTTACTTTCGGCTTAGCTAACTACCCAAAATATTTATAAATTTGTTTCCTTTAGTGTCTTGAAGTATTTCCTATATTTGTGGAATATATTTTGTAATTGTAATTAACATCGCTTAGCGATCAACAAATCATTCATCATCGAACTTAAGTAACTTATTATTGCACATTTGTGAATGAGCGGATTGATTTGAGCGGAATCCCCTACAACTTGGCGCGCTTCAGATAATCCTTGTAGGTGACATCGCGCCACCATTCGGGACGTTCAAAGACACCAGGCGTCGAGACAATTGTCTTTTGCAAATGCTGATAGATCTGAAAGAACAAGCAAAAGGATTAGTAATCAACAAAAACGAGAGGCGGAATAGGGGGGAGGACTCCTTAAACGTACATTGCCATCACTCATGCCAAGCGGTGAATTGAGAATAAAGTCTGTGGGTGCAATGGCATCAATCAGTGCGATGGCCTCATCCTTCAGCACTGGCAGCAGCTGCAGAATGCCCTGCTGGTAGAGCTCAATGTGTGGGCTGTCGCGGAAATAGCCGCCCTGATAGAATATGGCCGAATACTTGGTAACCAAATGGGCGCCATAGAATGAGAGCAGCTGCTGCAGCACCTGCTTCTCGGCGGAGGCAGGCAGACTGTTCACAAACTTGTAGAACACATAGTAGATGGTGCGCTGGAAGTGGGTTAAAAGGCAGCTTAGTTAATGCTCCAAACCCAAAGGGAACACGCACTCACCTCGCCATAGATGATGGACAGTTTCTGGGCGGCAAACACCTGAATGTTGTTGCGCGTCTCAAAGGCGTCCTTGCCCTCGCGCTGCAGCTGCTCGGCACGCTTGACAGTGGCTTCCAGCTGCCAGGCGGTGAGCCAGTTAAGGGCCTTCAGGAGATCTAAATAGGGTGAACGATTAGTGCCACGAATCCATTAGATTTCAAACCTTTCTTGACTCACTGTTGGCATCCAATGCCTGCGCTGGCGTGCGCTCCTCGGCCTTGCTCTGCAGAATGCCATTGATGTCGCTCAGGAAGGACACCGTTTCCAGCGGCGACACAGCCACAAAGTCCGCATTGCTGCGACGCAGACTGACCAACCAATTGGAGGCCTGCTGGATGAGCGTATTGTTCTCGCCCTCGTACGTGCAATTGGCATCATTGTCGTTCCTGAGATCACCCAGACCGGCGGACTTCAGATAGCCATGTCCGCCGCAGGCCTCGCGACACTCCTGAATGCCATCGCGGGCGGCCCAAGTGGCCACCGGCTTGAGGGCCGACGATATGGCATGGATTTCCATGCCCGCCTTGGATGTATCCTCGCCCGTGAAGCCCCTCATGGTCATGTCCACGTTCTCCTTGCCAATCCACAGCGTGGCCACGCGCAGTGCAATTGTGGTGGCCAAATGGGGAATGAGACGATACTGCTGCGACTGATACTCAATCACGGGCCACTCCGTCTGACTGTTGTTGGGTCCGAACTGCCTGCGGCTCGCGCCATAGCGCGTGGCTATGGACACGGCCTTGCTGAGGGCCACATACGTGATGGCTGTGATGTTGACGCGTCCCTGGGAGAGGGCGCCCAACGAGGCACCCAATCGCTTGCGCTCATCCTTGATGGGACTGTTGTAGTTGCCCTGGTCATCAATGTCGCCCGCCTTGGACAGGAGATTGGCCTTGGGAATGCGATACTGATTGAAGCTCACAAAGCTAAAGAGATTTTTGATTAGAACGGATGGATAAATGTCGTATCGTATGTGGGTGGCACACCTACCCATTGTCAATGCCATTCAGGCCAATCTTCTCGCCCATATCGCCGACCGTGACGCCCGGGAAGGGCAGCAGCGTGCGCTCGTCGCGTATGGGCACCAGGAAGGCCTGCAAACCCTGATGCTTGTCATCGGGCACAAACAGCTGAGCATAGACAATGGCATGGGTGCAGGTCTTGCCCAGATTGCCCACCCAGCACTTGGATGCCTCAAAGTCGGGCGTGTGGATGATAAACTCCTTGGTCTTCAGGTCATAGGTGGCACGGGTGCGCATGCCCAGCGCATTGGTGCCGTGCGAGAACTCTGTGAGTGCGTAGGCGCCCAAAATCCGATTATCGGATATCTTCGCAATGTACTTGCCCAAACGGCCCGACCCATTGGACACCAGAGTGCTGGGGAACATGCCATTCGAGAGGCCAAACTTCACCGAGGTGCTGAAGTCATAGCTGAAGATGGCCTGACCAAAGGCCAGCAGCAGGTGAGGTGTGCCCAAATACTGTAAAGGGCATTCAAAAATATTATTTGGAATGGAACTTGCCATCTGTGACGGCGTCACTCCCTACCTCATTTACACCAAAGAAATGCTGCTCCCAGAGCAAATGCTGCCGCTTGTTGGCCATCTCTCGTGTGCGCTCCAATGTGGCCACCTCTGGCTCCCGCTGGTAGTCCGGGTGCTGCTCCATCCATTGCCATACCTTGTGCTGTGTGGCAGGTGCGGGATGTAAGTTCGATTAGTCAACGAATATCAGATAAGAAGGAAGGCGGCTTTGGGTAAGATTAGCGGGGGGTGCACTTTCCCCGCAGATAGCAGCACAAAGACAGAGCAGAGCAGAGCAGAGCACATTGTACTTTGGCCGGAACAGTCGGTTGCTCCACATTTAATGCTATTGCTGGGCAATTAAAATGTAATTAATGTCTGATTGTTGCGCTTACCTTCAATCGAATGTGCTCTTCGCCCTCTAGGAGCACATTCATCCGCTTGTAGCAGAAACTCGCCTTCTGGCGGTACGCGTCCAGGGGTCCGCTGCGGAACTCCGGAAAGATCTTCTTGTCGTCAAACAGGTTGCCCGCCTGCTGGCCATTATCCTCTCCACTGTAATAATCCGATAATGAAGTTAAAATCTCATTTATTTGATTGACGGCGGATTTGCCGTCTTCGGCCATTGTAATTGTTGAATCGTTGAATCGTTATCGGCGGCGGTAGGGTACTCACTTGATTGCAACCATGTCTATCGCTGTCTCTGTCTTTTGGCTCGTTCGTCTGCTGTGGATGTGCTAACGGTCACGACTCTGCTCGAACTGTTTGAAAATTAACAATGGCCCAACTATTATTGGAAAAAGGTCGAAGGAAAGTGGTCAGCGATAAGATTTAACAAGCTTATCCGCAATTCATGGCCAGCCGGTCGTGCTGGCTGCCTCTTCAAGGCGTGCATCCGTCTTGGATAAGATAAGAGCGCCCAAAACATGGTTAGCCCCAAAACCCCAAATTCCACATTGTTGCTTGCCCATTTATTTGTTCGTGTGGGCAGAGAGCAGCGCAGCGCTGCTGGTTGTTAGTTTATTTCTACAAAATCATAAATTAAAAATTTTTTATCAGAGCAAAGAGAGGAGAGAGCAAAGCAAGATATCGATAATTGTTGTTTCAGCGTTGCACTACATCGACAGACATGGGCGCGCATTTAAATGTATTTGAACAGTGGAGCAGTTTCTTCTCTCTTTGCCCCAACTGATAGATTAGATTTTGTGTCAAATTGGCTGCGATTACTAAACAAACACTTCTGAATTTTCGTTTTATTATCTGAGATAATAAAAAATAAGTGTGTTTCTACCTTATTTTAATTGCAGCTAATAGATGTGATGACTGATAGGCGTCGAATTTGGATGATTGCAGTCTATATGCGTAAAAGAATTATATAATAAATGGGGTAAGTGCTATATTTTGGATAATAACTGGACTGGACTTACGAGCAATCAGATCAGTAGAATTCATTCTCATTGCAGCGATGTACATATGTTTATTCTATAGGGATTATATTCTGATATAATTATGAAGGATTACGTGTAGATATATTGTCTAAAATTGTCTAGATTTCGTTGGTTTATCTTTGTAAAGAAAATAGTTGTTCCCGAAACAATTATATTTAGCAGTAAGCCAATAATTTTGCCTCTCCCCATAAAAAAGGCTAGCAAAAGTCGCTGTGCACAATGAACCACTTACAACTAAATTTAGAACTACATAGGCCTACAAACGTCTGCATTATGGCATATTTAATTCTCTGTTCAACTTCACCTGTTTGTTTTCCCAGTCCCAGTATTGTGTCACAGCTGGAAATGACAGTCGCCTGTTAAATGCATATTTTAATTGATCTAATCGCTTTTTATTTGATGCCATAATTATAACTATTACAACTTACACTTAGTTAACATGCAATGCGCGCTTTCGGTCTTGCGTACTTGGCTTTTCCTTCTCAATAGATTTATATATTTTATATTTTGTTATTTGTTATTTGCTACTGGTTTACGTTTACTGATTATCATGTTTCTTAAGTCATAAATATAGATTTCGTTACTTGTTTTTTGCAGCACTAATTTGGAGCACAAATTAAAATTGTATGTGTATATATATTATATATTTTGTTGTACTTAAGTTCTGGTTGTAATGTTTATGTTTTGTTTATTAAAATCATTTGTTGAAATCCGCTAAACGTTACGATTTTGACAGGGACGAGAGCTGCCCCTCTTGGGTGTAGCTCCACAAAGAATTAAACTATTTAGGTAACACGTAGTCGTAGTCATTGATTAGTTAGATTTTTGTTTCGTAAATCTCATAAATTTCTGTTGCATTTGAATTTGATATAAAAAGCATTAGAAAAATGCAGCTGCAGCTGCCGCCGCCCTACCAAAAACATTTACGTAATTTCTAAGTTTAAATTTTCGCATTTAAGCTGCTAAATATAGGTAATATAAGTAATATATATATACTTGCTAAAATATATACTAATTGACGCATTGCTTTGTTTGCCAATGAAATGAATGTTGTTGCATTATGTGATATTTTTTTGTTTGTTAAAATTTCCTCCAGCTCCTCCTTCTTATCGGATTACAACCGTACGTATGAGAGTCACAAAATTTCTTCAGCAGCTATTTTTTTGTTTGTTTGGCCTTAACGCTAATCAAAGTATTGAGAGATTATATACGTATAGAATCGGGTATTGCGGTGCATAAAGGAAATGGGCTACAGAATGTTTGCGTTAAATATATAATTTTAAAAACCAAAACTAAACATTTTGCTAAGGTAACTAAGGCTTTAAATGTAGAAACTAAAATATAAAAGAGATTGCAACTGTGGTGTGGTGTGGCGTGGTGCCCGTTAAAAGAATATATCCGGCGTGTCGTACAGATTGAGGCTCTTCTCCATTAGCGTCCCAGACAGCAGGTCCTCGTCGAGCGGTGACGGTCGTGCTGCAGCACCAGCAGTAGCAGCAGCAGCAGCAGCAGCAGCACCCCCTTGTTGTGGTGGCCCGTCCGCCCGCACCATTCGTCTCATATCATCGACTCTGCACCGAGCTGGCCGCCGACGAGTTGGAGGAGAATGCCGACTGTAGGCTGGTCATTGAGCCCTTGTAGTTGACAGAGCTGAGCACCTCATAGAACAGATTCAGCTGGGCACCCGTCGGACTGAACCAGTGCATCAGATAGCTGTCGTTGTGGTGCATCACATGCGAGCCCTGCACACTCTCCTTGTGGCGACAGACGAGTGTGGGCTCCTCCCGGAAGTAGTTGACGCCCTCGACAAAGTCCTGCAGATCAAAGTAGGAAACGGCATCATCTGTGGAGAGACAGCGAAAAAACAATGAAAACTCTCTCTGAAAGGGGGCAAACATGGCGCTCTGCTTATACCATTCTTATCTGGCAGCTCTTGGGTGACGCGATACAGCGTAAAGTGCAAATCGTTGCGCATTACATCAAAGTCCCATGTCAGCACACTCTTCGGATCCTCGTTCCTGATCAGCAGCTCATGGCTAAAGCCCGCCTTTAGGTCCACACTCTTGTACAGATTCTGATGTTCGTGCTGATGGGCAGCCGACAGACGCTTCATGGGCGGCACAGCCACTGGGGCCAATGCCTCGGCATTGGTAGGCGATACAATGGTCACATCATCATCATGCTCCTCCAGGGAATTCATTTTGTAGAGCGTCTTTGGCACCAGGCCACCCTCGTGTATCATGGTCTGTGGAAACAAAATGCAAATCATTTATTTATACAAGTCAATGCAGAAGGCAAGGATTAATCTATCTTTGGCTAGAAGTAAGCGTAAAAACAGTTTCAAGTGAGACACAGCAGCAGACACGGACATGGGGGACATGAGGACATGAGAGGACATGGCTGGCGGATGTCAATGCTAAGCAGCGGCAGCAACAGCAACGGCAACGGCGCATATGTATGGACTTGACACAGTTCGCACAAAAGAACACAACAAAAGAACACCAACAAAGAGTACAAAAAGGTAACGCACACACACACACACACACACACACACACACACACACACACACACCTCGAGAGTGTAAAACAGAACGATGGACAAAGGCATATATATAAACTGTGTGTGGAGGAGAGACATGAGACAATATCGCAGAAAGAGGAAAGATTTGTAGTTGAAAGGAGCTGCTTACACAATCGCAATTGGCTAAATAACAATGCGTAAAATATTTCTGACTGACTTGCTCCACATGCGACACAGGCTGCAGGTTAACCGCAGAGCCGCGAAAAGAGGCAAAAACAAAAAAAAAAACAAAACGAATCAAATATACTTGTATCTACACTGGCAACCCGAAACAACTGACTATCATCGTATTATCGTATGTGGCTCTCTGCTTTTTTGACAACTCACCTTGCAGGGTCCGCCCAGAAAATCGGGCACTATCTCCTCGTCAATGTACTGGGCCAGACCGTCCGTCGTGTGTGCACAATCAGGGCCATAGAACAGGAACTTTGAGCGTGTGTGCTCGTCTGTGTGCCGAGCAGGAAACGATTATAAGACACAGTTGACAGTGGCAGCAGGAAATGCCACACACTCACCAATGAATGCGCTCACAATGGTCCAGGCAATGGGAAACACTCGAGGCGCTCGCACCACCAGCACACGTCCCATGGTCTCTGGATAATTACGCTCCACTGTCTCGATGATGTAGAGCAAAGCCTTGATGCCGGGACGCCACAAATGGCGCATGGACAGACCCTCCAGATCCACCAGCAGAGACCAGTTCAAGACGGGCTTGTCCAAGCGCTCAGCAGATTCATTGATCTTTTGTATGCCCTCCTCGCAAATGTGTAAGGCCTGTTGGCGGAATGATTAACAGGGTTTGGCAGAGATTATTTGGGGGTGGGGGGTAGAAAACATACCAATCGAAGCAGCCCCTCCATGCCCAGACTCTTGAGCAAACCCTTGACATCCATGTGACCCAAGCGTAGTATATAGATGGGCCTGCCATCCTTGTCGTGATGATGCCAACCGCCTGGAAAGTGCTCGACCACCACCGCCGGCTTGGTATACTCCTCGAGGAGCGCATCAATGCGATGCTCCTTGCGCCATTGCAGCGAATCGCAGAGCATGGCAAAGGCCTGGCTCACATGCCAGTCCCTGGCTGACAAGAAACGCAGGATGGTCTGATAACTGGGCACACGCTCCAGATCATCGACACCATCGAGCATTTTTCGCAGCTCCAGCAGCTTGGACTCCTGCATCGGTGACAGCTGGCCCAGACTGCGCGCTATAAAATCGCCATCGAGCAGAATATCGTGATGCTGCTGCTGCTGCTTCTGTTCCTTTTCCGGTGTTGGCGATTTGGGGGCATCGAGGGGCGGCACCCAACGCTCCACATGTGTGATGCCCTCCGCCTCCATTTGACTGATGAAATACTCGATTATCTCCTTGCCCTTGAGCGTTGTCTGTGTGTACTGCTTCATGCCCATCTTCTCCATCGAATGCTCAAAGCCAAAAAAGTTCTTAATATCCAGCGTGGCCGTCTGATCGAAGCACGTCCATTCGGCATTGTCCGGATGGGCGTAGTAGCGACACCGTTCGAAGATCTCGATGCGCGACGAGAAGCTCTCGTTGACGGCCTCGATGCTCAGCGTGCGGGCGCTCATATCCAGATAGTTGTGCTGCAGGAAGTACACAAAATCCACGCCAATTAGCTTCTTGAAGATGTAGGGCGCATCCACAGCCAGCTTGCAGCGCCGGCTGGTGTTCCGCTTCGCCCCATTCTCCAGCGACTCATCCTTGATGATATCGCAGTCGAGGACAATGGGCATCTGTGGGCATTTGGGAAAGCGTCGCTCATAGGCCTGCAAACACACACACATAGAGAACGTATGGATTGAGGGATGAGCTTTGAGTGTATGTGAGACAATTGAGATTTGAAGATTTTGAGGGTAAGGGCAGGAGGGTTGGAGGAGACTGACTGACCGTCCCATGGGTCTGGCTAAGGGCACAATGCCAATCGGCCTTGAACGTTGGCCAATTTATGAACATGAACTTGGCTAGAACTTTGGTCCCTGCACCCTGCCGCTCTCTGTCGCTCTCTGACAACAAAAACATTTACAAAATATTTGGCCAAAAATGTCTAAGCACACACAAAATGTTATTTTTGGTATACTCTTTGGGTGCGCTTTGGATTTTTGCTTAATTTTAATTTGCTTCTATTAATATTCAATTGAAAACATTCATAATTGCATGCTCGAATATTTGCCTGTTTGAGCAGTTTTTGCACATGGCTTAAACTATTTTTAGCTGCTCTACTTAGCGGTAGAGCATCTATGGTTCGTGCTGCTTTTGGCCAACATTTTTTTATGGTCCCCCCCCGCCACCAACTCAACGGAGAGCTTCTTCAGCTTTATCTTGTCGGGTGGCATAAACAAATGAGCAAACTACGCCGCATTCGCCCCACGGCCGACTAGAGCTACACTGTGCGAAAAAAAATGCAGACTAGAAAGAGGATTTTAAGACTAGTACAAGATATTAATGGGGCGTACTCTTTATTCTAGTTCTAGTCAATAAAAATGAGTAACAAATGGGCACATGAATATCTGTAATTTTAATAGTCAAGGAAACAAAATTATAATCAAGAAAAAAGCCTCTTTTATCGGAAGATCTATTCTAGATTTTCTCCCATACTTATTTTCTATTGAAAGTGTAGATATTTCGCCATCTTCCCAACTCTGAGAATGTTTTCTTTTGGATGGCAAAATCTGTATAATTTTCGCCTCTGAAATTTCCCATTAGATCATTTTTTCTACTTATTGCACATACATATAAATCGAAACAAATTGCTTATTGCACACAAAAAAAAAATTCTTTTCTAAATACCACAAACATTGCTTTGCGTGTGTGTATGTGTGTGTGTGTGTTTTCCCCCTCCTTGTGCAATTTATTATAATTACCTACAAAGGCGCTTCTGTTAATTCTCACACGGAATGCCGTGCTGGAAGCTAGAAGTTAAGAGCACATCGATTTTTAAAAAACATTTCCCAACAGAAATGCCCTAATAAAAGTTTACAAATTATGCGGAACAAAGAAAAGAACTGTGGCATCAAGAGGAGGCGCCACAGTACGCCACAGGCATGGCCCCACACCAAGGTCACCCTGCTCCATGGTCGCGTGTCCTTTAAGATGCACTCGAAGGCTGTCATTTTCCTTCCTCTGACGGGCAGGCGGCAGGCAGGCAACGTTCGTAATTACGCCGAACTTGTTTAATAATTAAAAAGTTCAAGGCAGATTGTGTCGCCACTGGCCTGTGTCCGGGAGTCCGGACCGGTCCGTAGGCAGTCTGGGAAAAAGCGTGACCCAGGACAACTTGTTGGCTCCCGTGCCCCCCCCACATTGATTGCTGAATTATTTAGCTGGTGTAAAACGTGTGAACAACCACATGAGCAACGATTTACGACCTCTGCATTGGGGGGCCAAAAGGTCCCGCAACAGATTTATGGCCAGAACAAACGAACAAGTCCAAGCAACAATCTGAACCCTTTCTCCCACCCACACACAAAATCCATTTTATTAGTCTGCCAACGGGGGGGGGGATGAGTTGTCCTTGGTTCCCGTGGAGTCATGGCTTATGCTAATTGGCCATTAAAAACTTTGTCGGTTCGTTGCTCGACTTTTACAGTGACTCAAAAACGCAAAGGGAGAGGGAGAGCAGGTAGAAGGCAAAGTGGGGAGTGGGCAGTGGGAGGGAGTGGGAGTGGGAGTGGGGAGTGAGTGTCAGTGGCACGGCTTCTGCTTTTGTTTTCGCTTTTGCAGCGGCTCCTATATATAGAAAGTGTGCAAATTCACTTGGCACATCTGACGTAGCATCAGGCGGGCTGGTGGCATACGTATTGAAACTTCTCTCTCCCCCCCCCGCCGCACGCCACGAGACTCGACACGACGCGACGCAAAGCGACTTTCGAGAGCGTGTCGGTGTCGTCGCTCCGAGCCAAATGTAAATTGATGATGGCCTTGATCTACCGCCACAAATGCATTTCAGCCAAATGAGTATTACGTCAATAATGCAATATTATAAAATACTACTCGTACATTCAGCTCTGTGGAACTGGCACGGATGCATTGACGGTGGCAAAAAAACGGTGTAAACAAATCTGTGTAGTTGTTCCAGGAGACAATTATAAATGGGTAATTATAGATTGTACATTTTAGAGCAATAAATCTTCAGATATATAAATCTTTTTAGATAATCATAGAGCAAAATTATTTTCCAATGCTAAATTTTAAGCTCTTTTCCAGTCCCACAACTTTTGTCCACACTTTCCAAATCAAAACCCACTCCTAGCTGCTTGCAAAGGGTAAACATCTTTTCTTGGAACTTGATATTCCCAACTGTTTTTGCTGCTGCTTACAAACTGATTCAGCTTTGACACATGATATTTATTTAATTTGAAAGTTCTGCTGCTCGTGCCTGGGGCTCAAGTGAAAAGATATCCAATGTATAGCCTTGGTATTGCCTCGTACCAGTTGCCAAAGACGAATTTACAATGCATATGCACTTTTATTGCCCCACCAAACATTAGTTGATTGTACAATTTAAACTAAAATTTAACTCATATCATGAATTGGTGCATTCCCAGTGGGTCTGTCCAATCAGACACTTATTCGTAATACCCTCTGACTGTCCCCCCACATCCTCTGCCTGCAAGCAGCACAAACAGAGACAGATACAGGGGCAGAGACAGGGGCAGGCAGGCACTTTCATACAATTGAAAACGTGACCACTCGTTCAGTGGGTGATAGATGGGACAGGCAGATAGACAGATAGATAGATAGTATAATGCGATTATTTACTGTTAAGCCAATTAGTTTGTTACTTTACTCGCCAGGCAAAATGGCATACAGTGGCATGAATGGAGAGTCTCCATTTAGCTATGTTTCGAGTCAATGACATTATGCTCTGGACTTTTGGACTCGCCACTCAAAAGAGTGGAAAAATATTTATTTATTAATAAATACTGATAATGAATTAGTTGCGCCATCTGTCGTTGAAAATTATAATTAAATATTGTATGGGGATTTTCCTATGATAAGTTCCAGATAGTAAATATTATATAGAGAAAATGCGTCATTGAATATTTTGGGTTCGGCAGTGGTTTGCGTGGGATTTTATCAGTAAAAATATCTATGAAATATAAGCCAATTTGATTGAATGTTTATGCAAACATATTAATACAGTAAACACTCGACAAATCAAGTAAAGCCCAAAAGTTTCCATAACTTTGCTTGGCAACAAACATTTCGTAAGCATTTTAGACCTTTTAGGGTCGGTTGTAAGCAATCCCTATAGAGTGCTCACTGTACCACAGACAGACAGTTGCTGTATCTGACAGCCAGTACTGTTATCAGTTGTATAACAGACACACACACACACACACACACACACACATACCAGAGTATATTATATAGTTTTTTGTGCTTTTATAGTGTCTCATTTTCACTGATTGTTATTGCACAAATGGGCCATAATCGCTTATTTCCTGTCTCAATAGTCAGTTCTGTCCCATTGTGTGTGAGAGATGAAAAGACGGATCTTGCGAATGCAAAACACGAACATGAAAGCCCTGGTTACCCTCTCTATCTCTATCTCTATCTGTATCTCTATCTCACCCGCTGTGCTACTCTTCTTTCAATGGGATAGTGGGACAGTCCTCTCCTAACATGGTGCTCTCTGAGAGGTTAATATGATTTGTAGCAGATGTTTGCTAAGAAGAGAAAAATGTCCATAAGTACCTGGCTAAAACTGTGCATAGATGGGGAAATTTGTCCTGCATGTTGCAATGTAACTGCATTTTTTTGTGTACATATTTGCTTAATTTATAGGAAGTAACGATCTGGTAAGGGTATCAAAAGCTGCGGCCTCCAAAGCTATCTCCGCCTCCCACTTATCCTTCAGCATCTCACCCTTCCCCCGCTCACACTCACTCATCTTTTGTTATGAGAGCGAGATTTCCCATTCATGAAACTACAGACGGACAGAGAGAGAGAGAGAGAGCAACATCAGAGAAAGGGCGACTCTGTCTCTCTTTGTGTGCAAGAGAGAGGGGTAAATTATGGCTGTCCAAGGTTAATTTTATTTATCTTCTGCATTTGGTGCGAAAATTAAGGGAAATCCGAGTGCAAGAGGATTGCGCTTCCGAATGAAAATCAATCAACAGCTGCTGTTCGCTGTTCGCATAATTAAGAATGTTGTAACCAGCAATGTGCACGTTAAATATAAATAAAACAAACAAGTCTATGAGCAGCGAAAGGGGGGGTGGCAGAGGAGGGGGAAAAGAGACACGGAAGAGACACGACACGCCTACATAGGCTGGCGCTTGTTCTGCTGCCTGCAAATAAGATACACACCTTCATCACCAGCTCAAAGGGATATTTGTAGACCCGAACGGGGGATTGGAATTTCTGCACCATCTTGTTGTTCTTGTGGTCTCAATTCACACTTGACACTGGTTAAAAATCAATTTTCACTTATTGCACTTTTTCGTAATTCCGTTTTTTTGTGGCGTGGGTGGATGGATATCGCCTCCGTTTAGCAGTTCAATTTTGAGCAGTATATTATTCCGTTGACGAGTTGAACTTTCTCATGACACTTTCAAATAATTATTCACACATTTATTTTAAACACTGCCTCTCAATCCGTTCTCTGGTATCACCCTGTTGTTCTTGTTGTTGCTGTTGTTGCTGTATTGTATTCTTATGCACACAGGCCCCAGCGTGTGTTTGGGTCGTTGCAACCGCAGCTGGCCGTGGAAAGCGGGGAAAGCCTTTCTCTCTCTTTGTGGAGCAAAACGCCAGTGATTCTTGGAGCAGTGGAGCAGCAGCAGCGACGGCGTCAACAGAAGCGCTGCTTGCGCTATCGATGTATGGCTATCGATGGTTTGCCTTTCGCTATGTGTGGGTGGCGATAGCTCGGACTCGAAATCGATATACTTTGAATTTTGAATTTGAAATATATTTCCAAGTGTCGATACTGTAAAATTTGATAAATCTCAGCAATTGTGTTGAGCTCTTATGTATTTTGAGTTAAATATTACTTAACAAACAAACGCATTTTGGCTTATATTTCAAGGTCAGTTATAGTTATAGTTATAGGGTGTGTGAAATCTGCATTTAAATTTTAAAACAAGTGTTATCTTTGTTTCAGTGCATACGAGTGATTATTTTTAATCGGCTATGTGCGAGTTCAATATATCGTGTATACAGCGGTATGTTGCCACCGCTGACGCTTTCGATGCGCGCTGTGACCATCGCCATCGATAGTTGACTGCCATCCCTAGACTTTAGATGGAATGGATTTTCGTGAAATAAATAAATTGAATTGGCGTTTAAATCTGAATAACAACAACAGCCTTGTCGAATACAGCAGTGCGGTGAACAAGTACACGACTTCCGATGTGCCGGACGAGCATCCACAACTCCTCAGACAAATCGATTGTGCGACAGGGGCGACGACAATGGGCACGAAACAAAAACAGGCACCAACAACACCAGCCTCAGTCTCTGCCTCTGCCATAAGCGTCAATGACGAGGGGGGCGGTGTTGGTGGTGCCGTGGGGACAGGGACTGAGACTGGGACTGGAGACTGCGCTGCAGCAGCAACAGCAGCAGTGGCGTCGCTTGAAACCGAGGGCGGCGGCGTCGTCGGTGATAAGGCAAGTGCACTCTCGCTCTCTCCACGTCTTGTATACGCAATTTTCACTGCCCCTTTTTCCCTCCCACACAAACACACACACACACAGATTGGAGGCGCGGCGGCCGCCTACTGCGCCTTGGATCTGGATGTGACCGGCTATGGAATGGCAGCTGCCGCCGCTGCCTTATCGCCCACCGATGCGGCATTTGGTGGAGGCCTCAGCTCCAGCCGCACCTCCATGAACAATTCCACGGAGAATCTGAGCTACGCCAGCGACAACTTCTACGGCGACGATCTCATCCTGCTCGACGACGACGATGTGGAGGCGGAGGAGATATCCCTCAATTCGGACGACTGTGTCTACGCCTATCGCGGCGACGGCGCCGATTTCGACCTCTCGATGGATGCCGCCGCCATGGGACGCGGCGGACGGCATCATCTCGACTTTGGCCTGCCCGTGGGCATGCCCGATCTGCTTGGGGCCGATGATGAGACCGAGTTTCTGGAAATGGACTTCGAACCGGATCCGTCCTCCGAGCTGGAGTTTGCCAGCGGTGCCCAGGATCTCGGCGCCCTGCCGCAGGCCAATCTGCTGCTCATGCAGCGCGATTACAGCCAGATGAGCGGCATGGGCATGGTCACGCCCACGCAGGGCAGGCAGCTGTACAGCTCGCCCATCGACGATTTCCCCCAGGAGGATGCCCTGCAGCAGCAGAAGCAGCGTCTCAACAAGAAGTTTGCCCGGATTAGCCTCAATCTGGATCAGATCAAGGATGGCACTGGCAGTGGCGTGGACATGGATCTGGATGAATTGATTGGCGGAACCGAGGAGGAGGGCGGTCCGCCACATGTGGGCGGACAGCTGGCGGACACAGCGCTGGCCCAATCCCTGCCCAGCACATTGTACACCGGCTCCAGCTTCAGTCGGAGCACCAGCGTGCCCAGCGATCATCCCGAACCGAAGCTGACGGGTGCCAAGCCCAAGCGACTGTCCAACTCCTCGTCGGTGATGTCCAAGAGCAGCTCGTCCTCGAAGTCGCGACGATCGCAGCCCTCGGCCAGCTTCGATGAGCGCTGCTACAGCTGCACGGACTTTCGGGCCACTTCCGCCTCCTCCTGCCAGCAGCTGCCACTGCAGGCTACGGACACGGTGGCGCCCATGCTGGTGGCTGCTGCTGCCGTGGTGGCCATGGCCGCCTCATCCTCGTCCATGGCCCACTTTGACTTGACGAGCGGCAACGAGGAGAACTGCCTGGACTGCCTCGAGAAGGAGTTTCTGGCCAACACCATTGGCAAGGCCCTCGATATGAGCACCTGCCCCAAGTGTCGGCGACGCGTCGGCAGCAACAGGGGCAGCAGTCTCTCGCTGTACACCCGGGCGGAGCAGACACGATGTCGCAGCGGATCGCCGGGCTACTTTGATGAGGCTGGTGGCCTGTTTGCCGGCTGGCATAGTGGTGCAGCTGGCGCCGGTCCCAGTTTGGGTCCCGCCTATAACCAAAGGTTTATTTCGTGTGATAATAATTTTGGCGGCGTGCAGGTGAGGCAGCTCTAGGGGAGTCCCTTCTCGGAATTGTTGCTTAAAGTTGTTGCTTCTCCCCCCCCGCATTTATTTGGCAGCTGCTCAAGCAAAGCTTTTCGACTGAGCCGCTGGTGGCGCGTCTGTCCACAGGACAACTGTGCGATGAGGAGCATCTGGTGCAGGCGCTGGACAAGCTACACATTTCCTACGACAAATCCCTGCTGCACGCATACTTCGCGCAGCTATCGAAGCCCGCCGGCAGCAGCGGCGCTGGGAATCTCAAGCAGCTGCTGCTGCAGGCCTCCAAGCGGCAGTGCAACCATCGCAAGCTCAAGAAGCTGATCGAGCTGGCCACCCAGCAGCAGCTTCATGTGCAATTTAAAAGGGTACGTCGCTGCAGTCTCCCAGCAGCAAGATTCAACCCATTTAATATACTATTCTGTTGCATTTATTTTGCTTAGACAAACGAAGGGGACACCAGCAAAGCAGCAGCAGCAGCAGCAGCTTTGGTGCCCGTTAGGGTGGCGGATATTTTGGATGCCTGGGCACGCCATCGAGATCTCTCTGTGTTGCGGCAATTGGATGCGCGTTTCCATCGCGCCAATGTGCTGGGTAACCCACCATAATTTATGCCCAGCCCTAAGTGCTTCATTTAACTCGTTTTGATCTTTTTGTATTAAACAGGAAAAGTTGGTCAAATTGTGCGCCAGGCAGCTGCAGCGTCGTTTGCAGCTGCCACCGCTGTCGCCTCTTCAACCTCAAACTCGGCGACGCGGCGTGCCCTGACCGAGTTTCTGATGATACCGCAGTATTATGATAGTGGAGAGCTGACATTAACGCGCAAATGTTAAGAGGAACAAGGACACGCCCACACGCCCACACGCACACACGCACATTCATCCAACAGACAGACACACACACACACACACACAGAGATAAGAGAACGAACCACAAACTAAAATGAAAGTGGAATAATTGTAATGCTTAGGCTGCGTTTTATGTTGTAACGAATTATGGAGAGACTGTGTGAGGCAGAGAGTATAGCTCCCGCCCTGACCTCCCACTCCATGTTTAGTGTGAAGAAAAAAAGGATGTCTCACAATTTAATCGTTAACCGAGTTTTGCAATATCGAATATAGTTACAGTACCCCAGTACCAGTACCCCCCGCCCATTATCTATGTATATGCCAACACGCCCACTAAACGTATATCACCCATATACATATACATATACATACATAATATATACATAATATACATACAGTACATACATCATTATGTATAACTCGTACATAGCTTAGCTACAACAAAAAGGAAACAAAAGAAATCTGAATAAACTCTAAGTAGGAAAGTAAAACTCAGACAGACACACACACACACGACACACAAGCCACACACAGCCCCAGCTCCAGCTCCAGCTACAGCTACAGTCCCCCGCCCCAAGGAGAGAGAGGAATCATCTCATCCATTAGAAGACACAACAGGCAGGCCAGGCCAGCTCCTCCTGCTGCTACTCCTCCCTCCTCGACTCAACTCGACTCGACTCCGATTTCGATGTGTAAAACGGTGAGAATGTTTTTGTTTTTAATAAAATTACGCTTTATTAATTATTAATATGTATAATCTGCTGTACTCGCAAGCCGCCTTCTGCTCCCACTGCTCCACTTCACTCGTTTGTTTATGTCTATTGGTATCGCTGCTGTGGCTGTCGCCCGCCTGCATTGTAATAGCCACCGCCCGGTCCGCCGGGTACACCCATATTTGGTGGCATTGGTGGTGGCGGCGCAACGGCAGCATTATAATGCGTGGGCGGCGGCTGCTGGACATTCCATGCCGCTGCGGCATACTGTGGCATAGGCACTACGGGTGGCGGAGGTGGCGGTGGCGCATGGTACATGTGATAGTTGGCCTGTCCCTGTCCACCGCCGCCAGTCGGCCCAGTTGGTCCCGGCGGCAGCAGTGGCAGTGCATCGTTGTTGCTGTTGTTCATGCAGCTGCTGCTGATGAGGGCGGAGGGCACTGCATTGGCCAGCGATTTGATGCTCTGTATGTTGTTGAGGTCCAAATGGTTGCCATTGCCACTGCTGCTGTTTGTGGGCGGCGGTGGCGGTGGCTGCTGCTGCTGCTGCTGGGCGGGTGCTCCTCCTCCACTGGGATTCATGGGCTTCACATTGGTGGGACTGTCCGCGCGACTGGGTGGCTTCTGGGGCGGACTGTTGGGTAGCTGGGCCTCCTTCTGGGTGGACTGGTACAGGTCCAACACCTGGTGGCATATGTCCTCCAGTATCTCCATCGTCACATCCGACACGAACATGTCCCACCAGCGCTGATGCTGCGGCTGACGGCCCTCCCAGTCCTGGACCGTGAATTTGCTGAGCTTGCTGGCCAGATGGATGAGCGCCACGGCTATGATCTCGGGCTCCCACTGCAGACAGACGACCGTGCTGAGGGAGTCGTTGACAAAGTTCCAGGCCATTTGGACCATCTTCTGTAGCTTCTGCTGGTCGCCCTTGAAGCACTTGGCATACTTGAGCAGAAATGTGTACGGATGCTCCACCTGCAGGTCGAACTTGATTGTCTGCAGCAGTATGCGCTCCAGTGTCATTACCTCCTCCTTGGGATCCTCGCCAAACGAGTAGAAATAGTTATCGTTGAGGATGCCGCGGGCCGTCTTGATGATGTCGCGACACTTTTTGGGCGTCTCCTCCACCTTGCCGGCGAAGAAGAGGCAACAGCAGGCGGTGACGTAGCGTGGAAAGCTGCGGAACGAGTGGAACATGTAGAAGCGATGGAAGTACACCACTCCGGTGGCCATTGTGTTGTGGCCGAGTCCCATCTTTGTGCCGCACTCCATGATGAAGCGGGCGCCCTCCTTGCGGTAACGGCGCTCATTCTCGAACGTGATCCCATCCAGAATTGACGGTGTCTCTCGCAGTTCCTTTTTGTCATAATACCAGCAAGGCATCGCTCTTTTCCAGCTCCTGGAATACGGCGGTCGGTACGCAGCAGCAGGTTGGGTTCCGTTCCTGTCTTGCTAATTTTGGTGTTATTTATAAATAAATGTACAATTGTTTTAATACGTGGAAAATATTTCCTTTTTTTTTGGTCTTTGGCTGGCAACCCTAGCGGCGAGTGTTGGTAAACTGTGCAAAGTGGCCTCGAACGTTGTATCGATAGATGCAGACGGGCGCCGATACATGTATCGTATTTAAAGTGAGCTAAGTGCCACTCAATTATTTACATATTGAGACTAAGTTTTATTAAGTAATTAATTATAATCTTAAATCTTTGAATGTTGTATTAGTTGGTGTACCTGTAACTATTTATTTTTTAAATATCAAAATCATTAGAAGTTTGGCGGCAACAGTTCGATAGTTAGCTGCAATCTGCTATCGATACTTAGAAATTCCACCTTGCATTTTGTTTCCTTTGCGGAGTTTTGCTATAATTAATTGTTTTTATTGCTTTCAACTATAGTTATTAACGTAATGGTGGTGTCCAAGTGGTCAAATGGTTGTCATTGCAGCCCCCTGCCCTGCAATTGCTGGTATCGCAAATTACACACAAATTTAAACGCGGTAGCGAAATCCAACCCGGCGCCCGTCGCCAGGCCGCTGCAGCCGCAGCACTTGTTGCTCTCGTCCATGACCATGCTTCGACAGCAATTAGCAGCGACTGCCGCACAGCGCCTTGGCATAGTCGAGGTACGGTACGAAACTATTTATAACAAGCCTTTCCAGTTGTACTGCAAATTGCTCTTCGGCAGACATCCAATAATGCGGTCAACAGAGCGCGGATCTGATTGCTGCTGGACTGGACGGGGACTGCGACTGGGACTCGTTTGTGCCAGCAGCAGCCAGCTAACAGGAGTTTTGGCTATGTGCCGGACGCTGCAACTGGAGGTTGCAATGCCTGGCTGTGCCCGCCCACTTCTGTCGCAGTGGGAAACATTTGTCTTTATTTTTGCATAACCAACGCCACCGCCACCGCCACCACCGTCAGCGGCATGGCTAAATTTGAATACAACTCTCGCGGGAGTGGAGTTCCTCGAGGGAAAACGAGTTTCTATTTTCGAGTTGAGGAAGTCTCCCAGAGACAGAGCCACAGCGATGCCTGAGGGTGTGCGCTGCAGACAGGTAAGGAGTTGCAGATTTATGGTTCCCTATAGTTATGTACACACATGCAGCTCGGCTGCAGCAGAAGCCAACAACAATGTTATTAACCTTGGCAAAACTCCGGTTGGCGGTGAGGTAGGGGGGTAGCGCTGGCTGGAGCTTCCTTTGGGTGGCTTCTTTTGGCCAAGAATTGTGCCGGGTCTGCAGAAGGCTGAAGTGTAACCAGTTTCTTTGTGTCTTTCATTCTTGGCTTGGATCGCGCTCTGCCGCTTGCCACTCTCTCTCTCTCTCTCGCGCCGTTCGCTCGCGGCTAGTTTCCAATGTTTAAGACACGTTTGCAGCTTCGTTGCGCTTTGTTCAGTCACTTTTTGAACGTCGCCACTGCCAGACCAACAAGCGGAGATCGATCGCGTTAGCGCGCTCACTCTCTTTTGGCCAACACACACGGGGCCCCACCAGTTAACAGTTGTACACACACACACGCACGCACACACGCGTAGTACATGTATTTTAGTATTGTAGAAAATACCAACATCTCCAGCTTAATGCGCGTTCGTTTCGGGTCTCTTCCTCAAAGCAGAACACAAAAAATAAAATAAAACAAAACAAAAAGTGGCTTTCAGTGTGCTATTCCTACTAAATAGAAAAAAAGTGCTTGCCTAGGCAGAAAAAAGTTTTTTCTTTTCAATAATAATACACTATAAAAGCGGGCTAAATACAACAACTGCAGAAAATACAGATAAATAAGCGTGCAGAAATAAGAAAAATGTCTTGCGCGAATTTATAACCACCAGAAGATCGTGCAACTATAACGCTGAGCTGAGCTGCGCGCTCTCTCTTGATATCAGTCCAGTAGCACAGTACTCTACAGTCTCTCTGTCCATCTTTCTCTCTCGTGTATCTTCTACCCATCTTCATCATACATACATATATGTGCATACCTATGTATATGTATCTCTACTGCATGCATTCTTTGGAATCATTCTATGTGGATTATCTTCAGTCGACAATTGGAATATTTTTTACGTTATACCTCAGTCTATAACGCTAAATAAGTGAGTAAACCTAGAGATTGTAACTACTAAATTATAGTCTTTTATATAGAATATGAGATTTGGGGTTTGGGATGATTCATTTGGGTTTAAATTTGAAAGGAATATTTAAGCTTTTTACTGCATTGTTTTTGCTGACTTACTGACTACCTCTTTTGATGATTCAGTCAGTATATTTATTATTTTTGTGTCTCAGAAACTAGTATTAGAATCGGATAAGCAAGGTATAATGATATCCTCTGATGTTTCAGTTCAAAATTAAAGTATTAAATTAAATTAAATATTAAATCAGCATTTCTAAACCATAAATTATCTTCCCTGTGATTTAATTCGGCTAGAGCTTGAAAAATCCTAAACGAAATATAGAACAAAGCTGTGAAACAGCATTTATCTCTGCCTTGAATCATTCCACCTTCCTATGATTCAGTGGGGGTTGACTAAAGAATCTGAGCTCAAGAATATCTGCTCTGTACGGTTTTACTTTAGTTTTCTTTGAAGCAATATGGCAACATCATCTTTCATTGACTTTGGTTATTTCTCTGCACGATACAGTAGGTTTTTAACTTGAATATAGATTCTTAAATGGATTATGAACTATGCTTTTCAAATATTATTTTAAAGGTGCAATATTCCCGCCGTAGATTAAGTAAATTAATACCTAATTTAATCGTGAACTTTGGTATAGCTAAATATAATAAAAACTCAGACCTTTAAAGGGTTCTCTCTCTGCTTTGCTTTACCCTAGCTTGAGCTTTAGTCACCTGAACTTTCGTACCTTTCCCTTTAAAATTCAATGAAAAATCATCTCGGAAGTGCATTATTTCCGCCTTAGATGCTCTGCCCTCTGATGATTCAGTTGGTTTATTGAGTAAAATCATTTCGTGTTTAGCCTTAGATATGAATAATATTTGATGTGCTTGTTGCTTGTGGCTTGCTGCTGTTTTGTGACTGTGATTTATCATCGTCGCAGTCGCATTCAGCGCAGTTAGCGGCGCTGTCGTTGTCGCTGTCGGCGTCGGTGGAGCCACAATTAAGTGCTAAGTGTATGACGATTAGATCATCCATGGGGCGCGTCAAACCGCTTAGCCAAGCTAATTCGAGTGTGTTGGCCCAGGCGTAAGCCAAGGCCATTAAGGCACATGGTGCGGTACTCTCTCTCTCACTCTCTACCTGTAGCTCTCTCTCTCTCCAAGAGGTAGAGCGAGAGTTGATTGAACCTGCCACAGCATCGAGTAGCCAGCCATGTGGCATGCTGCAGCTGCTGTCGTTTGGGGTAACCAAAAAAATTCCAGAAAAAAAAGGCCTGTTGCTACGGTACGCGTCATAATTATAGGTGTACGCTCAACCTTAAGCCTTTGTCTGTCTGGAGTTTTCGAATGTTTTTCAAATGATTCATTGGAGAAGCTCCGAAAATGATTCTTTACCTAAATGCTCAATCATAATTAGTTTTTTGTGTGATTATTTCTCAAAGTGTAGTGCATTTTGCATATAAATTAAATCTTCTTTTGATTCGTATCTATTTTTATTTTTATCTCAAAGCCATGCAATGTCACAATTCCCTCCCTGAGCTCTGGCTTTCCCCCTTAAAATTACCCTCCAATTACTTGGCTTATCATATGTTTATTTCTCACTGTGTAGCAGTGCAGCAGTGCAGCAGCAGGGCTCATTCCATTGTTATTTGTCTAAAACACAAGCCATGTAAATGTTGTAGCCTGCCGCTGAGTTGTTGAGTTGTTTTCTCATTTTTGTTGTTGTTGTTGTTTTTTTTTGCACAATATGTTAACAATTTTGATTGGCAATGCTGCAGCCGGTGGTGGTGCTGGTGCGTTGTGTGGTGTGCTGTGTGTTGTGTGTTGTGCATTGTTTTAGGATCTGTTGCATGTTGCAAATTGCAATTGCAGCCGCAGCAGCAGCAGCACCACCATCAACCGGCAGAGTCCCACGAAGCGTGAACAACTCCAAAGCGACTTCGAATGTGACGGTACGGGACGGGACGGCGTTGAACTCAACCGAAATGGTTATGGCCGCATCAATATCTCTGCTGCTGCTGTTGATGCTGCTGTTTCTCCTGTTTTGTTGTTGTTGTTACCCCCCAAACATGTATTCTCGCGTACATTACACATTCTTGGATGAATAGACCCACGGACCACGGAGACGTGCCCATAAATCACGCGTGTCTTGGCCATACTTTTAGACTTACTTTTTGTGGTAGCCAAGCGCGAGGCAGGCCAGCACTTTGGGTCTGTCCACCACACACAAACACATCAAAGTGTCAGCTACCTCTCCAGAGTGGTTTTGATACCCATTAGAAGGGGATATGTTGTATGTTGTAGGGGAAAACATAGATGGAATGTCTAGCAAGATCAGCTGGAGCTATGATAATAAAGGAGCTGTAACTGCGGTGTACAGAAAATGTGCTAAAATGTTAGAATTATTTCTGAAGATGTTCTCTTCCCATCTAACCAAAATCATTATTTTATAATGCATATTACAAGCAGAATATGGAATTTTATCTTTTTATCTACCAATTAAATTAACTTTTCTTTGGGCGTATTTTTGTATATTTCGAGAATTTTCTTTACTGATTTTATCCTATTTACAGGGTATCCCTTGCTACATAGATTCTCTAAATATCTCGTTCTTAGTTGTTTGGTGTTTTTTTTTTTTAATATTTTTTTTTCATATTGATGGAAGCTGTTTGGCCTTTTTGGGCTTTACAGAGACGAACAACCGTCTTCAGTTGATCTTCAAAATGCTTTATTAGCTAATCCTTAGACATCCACAAGCAGCTGCCATAATTTGATGCTGTGGGACAGGTCCGTTTGTTACCATACAGAAATGTGGCTTTAACGGCAGTTAGTTTTCTGTAATTTATTTGAACTTATTAATATTTAATGTTTAATAAATAAATAAACGCTTGTGTGTGCCTGGGTCATTGAATTGTCACTCAACGTGTAGCTAAATGTTAATTAGATAATTGTTAGATTAACTTTCCACACGGGCAAAACCCAATGTGACGAGTGATTTCTTTTTTTAGTTTTGCTTTTAAAAACTCTTCAGCTTTGGCATCCAATTAGTTTGTAAACTCCAAGCCGAAGATGTGCCTGCTTTATATATATATTTTTTTCATCATACGTAGGCCCATTCCCACTCCCATACGCAATAATCTCTGCCGCAAACAATGGACTTGTAAAACCCACAAGAAGTCAGCACTCATAAATGTGAGAAGATTCCATCCGAGCAGAGCTTGAACATTTTAATTAGAATTTCCTAACCGGCAGTTAGGAAAAATACATACATATATACATAGATACATATATATAGTTCTTTTAGACTTTAGCCTCAAGCAGAAAGCCATTAAAATGTTATATTTTTGCGCTGCCTGCTTTGTGGCCTTTCAATGAACTGCTGGCACTTTGGAGTATGTCAAAGTTGAGGCGGCTGCCAAGCGGCTTTAAGATGGTTTATCAATTGTGGGGGGGCCAAGCTCCAGAAAGTTCATTAAGCCCCCTTCCCCGCAAATGCCAGAGAGAATAAAAAGAGAGTGGCAACAGGCGAGGCGAGGCGACACTTTCTACAGTCCAGAGCTCTCGCGGTAGAGCTTTGGATTGGATCGTGCGTGCCTTGCCTTCTGTCATGATTCAGGTCAACGCGTAGAAGAAGTAGAAGAGGGAATTACAAAATGTATTTATGTCTCGCTTCGCTTTTTGGCCAAAGGCCAAGCGATGACTGAGCTAAATGAAATTAAAAGAAATCATCGCTATCCTATTCCATAATTCCATTTCGATTCCAATGTAGCCTGGGGGCATTCTGCTTCTTCCCCAAAGATCCACGAAGAAGTGCTCAAAGATTGATTGCTGCGATCAAGTGGGTCAGCCGGCGCATTTGGCTCCCTTCTGTGGCTCATTCTTCAGGTGAGAGGAGGAAGTGTTCTTCATGCTGTGCCAGATACTCCCTACTTGGATTGTTTTTCCCGCTGACATGAAAGTGTGACTATGCAGATATTTTGCATGTTAATTATTTCAACCTTCAAACGATCAATGTTCCCAGAGAGAATTACCTTTACAGGTCTTCTCGTGTTCTCGTTACCTGTTTCCATATTGATGTACCTAATTTGGGCCTTCATTAACATTTCCCAACGTAGCAAAAAAACACTTTTCCAAATCCAACATGCCAAATGGAAAACCAATTGAAATACTACAGCATTTTCAACGCCCCAAATTTGGGCCTCCGCTTGAACTAAACCAATTCGCTCCGGTCCACTCCACTCCACTCGAGTCCACTCCATGCCCGGCACTCCATGCCGCACCTCTCTCGCGGAGCAGCGTGAAGGCCGAACCGGCTCTTGTGGCACACACACACAATCAGAGAGCCCGTGAGCCAGCCCCAGCCGCCGCATAATGACTAATAATGCCACCGATTTGCATGCTATAAGGCAACACACAGGCCAACAGACAGACAGCCCAACAGGCCAACAGCTTAACTATGTCTTGAGAAACTGAATTGAAACGAAACTGGTTTCCATTGCATTTCATTTCATTTCATCGCAAAGTCTACTACTACGACTACGATTGAGAAACGCAAAACAATTGTTAAAGGCAGATCTCCGGGCAGATCCGGGCTAAAAGAGTGCAGGAATGTGCCTCTGCCTTTAAGAATGGAAATGAGTTTGGGAATTGGAAAGGGAATTCATAAATGGAATTACTTACTAATCCAACTTTACGACTTTAAGAATGGAAACTATTTTTGTTCGGCGAATTGGAAAGGCAATTCAATTTCATTAATCAATTCATGGATTCTGACTTGAGTACAGACTTTGGGAAGATTGGGATAGATTGCTTGGCAGTCCCTGCTGCGATTGCTGGCATTAATATGCGGCTTGAATATTCACTATATTGGAGGGGAAGAATCTATATTAAAAATCCAATTTCCACAAAGGGATGGGATGGGAATTTCAAAAGTATTCATAAGTTCATACAATAAAGGCAACCAAACTTCAGTTT